TTGGGTGATAGCTGTCATCGCAATCTGGAATTCTGGGAATGGGGGGGGGGTTGAAGAAGGGTTTGTGTGCCCGCCGCTGCTTTGGAGGGTTACAGGATGGAAATTATGACTAGTACATTCACCATTCATGCTCACTCAGCCAGAGCGGCTCTCTGTTACACCCAGATGCCCCATAAAGCCCCATCAGAGTCGTGTGACCTGCCTGGGCCGAGGGGAAGGGTGTTATTTTTGGGCTCTACCAGGCTCAACCCACCCCATTGGGCCTGACGGACGTGAACATGCAGGTGACAAAGGGGTAACGGTGTTCCTCACAGATGATGATGTCACCTTGTCACCCTCTCACCTCCGACAGCCTGCTGGGTGACATCAGAACTTGTATCACTGTGAACTGTCAATCACAGTCTTGATAAATATACCGTTCTGATTCTGGCAAGAGTTAAAACAGCATTGCTGATCCCGTCCCTTGTGCGCTGACAGCAGTGAATATCAGCAATCACTGTACAGGCCAGTTGTGGATTTATGGGTCAATGGCATATTTTTTAATAGTCTTTTAATTGTTATTTTTTAAGAGTAAAAAATCATAATAGTGTATTAGAAAATAAAATTATTTAAAGGGATAGTTCACTTTAATGAGCCCCTATCATAGCATTTGTTTTAGGAGTTCCCAAAAACAGTTTAACGTGCATGCAAGGTTAAAAAACACTTTATTCGTCTTACAATATGCATTTATTTTGAACTGATTTGCTCAACGACTCCCAAATGATTCGACGATTCATTTAATATCTAATATACAATTTTCTTCAGCAAGAATGCATTAAATCAATTAAAAGTACAGTCAATAGGCTCTATGCACGAACCCTGCTGACGTATGTCCGGTAGGATCTCAGCCAGCTTCTTTACTTCCGCCGCATAGCACGTTCTGCAGGCAAAACTTTAATAAAATTCATTTTCTCAGAAATGGAGACAACGATTTTAGAAACTGAAATATAAACTGAAGTAGCTCGAAATATATAATTTAAAGCCCTGCTCTTTTTTACTCTCATGTGTGACAGCTAACTCAACTACCTCGCAGTGTTAACGTCATTCACGTTTTTGTAACCAGCAAGTGTAATTTGCCATTATCTCCATCTAATGCAAAACCGGCTTCTGACGCAGCACTGGATGTAACTGGGCGGGCTGAGACAAACCCGGTAGCGATCGTGATTAGAAGCCTATACATTTACAAAAACATTTTTATTTCTATTAAATTCTGCTCTTTTGTATTTTCTGTTCAACAGAGAATTAAAAAAAAAAAAAATAGATATATAGATGTTTCTTACAATATTACTATTTTTTACTGTATTTTTTGCCTTGATGAGCATAAGAGACTTTCAAAGCATTTTTTTTAAAATGTGTTACTTTAGTTTAGGCTCCAATTCTAACTAGTTGCTTATTAGCATGCATATTACTAGGATATTGGCTGTTTATTAGTACTTAAAACGCATATATTATTGCTTATTCTGCATGACCATATTCTACATCCTTAATCCTAGACAATACCTAACTTAACAGCTACCTTACTAACTATTAATTAGCAGTAATTTTGAGATTGCAAAAGTCATAGTTAGTTAATAGTGAGAATTAGACCCTAATCTAAAGTGTGACCAAAAAATCTTATTGACAGTGTAGTGTATTCGTCAGTTTTTTTCCAATGAATATTGATGCTGCTTGTATCCAAATTGTAGTATGCAGTCTATCTTTTAGCGGGGGTTAAATTAACCATGTAACCTTGTCTTGACCCCTTGTTTTACAGGCGAATATACAGGGACAAGCTGAAGTTCTGGACCCACTGTGTGCTGGTGACATTAGTCGTCTTCACTGTCATGTCTTTCTTTGCTGAGCAGGTCAGTATGGCTTGGCTTACATGTCCATTTTGCATTCTGTAGTTCTTTATTTCACTATACACCAGTGGTGGAATGTAACGAAGTACAAATACTTCGTTACTTTACTTAAGTACATTTTTCACGTATCTTTACTTTACTTAAGTACAATAAATAGTGCCTACTTTTTACTTTTACTTCGTTACATTTTGCAGCAATTATTATACTTTCTACTCCACTACATTTCTACAACTTCTGTTACATTTTCGTTACATTTTCTGATCAGTTTTTCCCCTGCCAAAACGTAATCTGACCGTCGAGCCCGTTCTCATCCTAAAGCGCCATATCGGACGCTTTTGCAAAAGCGTAAATATCCAACGCACATGGCACCCTTTAACGTGAAATGAGACGCAGATATATTTGGGCAGATGGCGCCCCCTAGTGGTCTAACCCTTACACCAGTGACGTTTGGTTGCCATAGATACAGTATATCAACCCGGCAGGCCGGTCACACTAAATGCGTCTCACACGCAGTGTGTTTATCGTGCAACTCATACGCGAAAATTTGTTTTTACGTGCATAGGAAACACACCGTGTGTAATATATGTTTGGTTTGGTTAGGATTATGGCAAGCCAAGAGGTTCAGAATTACACCATAAATGAATCGCGTTTACTGCCAAACATATTAACATAGTAAGGATAAGCATGATATTGCCTAATTGCAAGCTTGTTTCAGAAATGGTGACGTTTTTTTCCATCATTATTGAACATCATTATAGGAGTAGGCTATTAGGTTGAATGAGTTAGAATTAAATGTTTTATTAATCATTAGAAAATAGACATTAAGATAATAAATTGTTATGCAAGTACTTTTACTTTTAATACTTAAAGTACATTTAAAATAAAGTACTTTTTACTTTTTACTTAAGTATGGTTGTCATTGTGTTACTTCTACTTTTACTAAAGTAAATATTTATCTGGGTATTTGTACTTTTACTTAAGTACTGAGATTCAGTACTTCCTCCACCACTGCTATACACACACACGCACACACACACTGTGTCCAGTCAGCTGAGTCGGGAATGGATAGTCTCAATAACATTAGCAACTAATATATCGAATTTTACCCAGCAACCACCTGTGTTCTTTTAAGGATATGCTAAAGGCAAAAATATCATCCTGATGATTGATCAACCAGGCAGCTTGCAGCAAATAGTCACACTATTAATTGCAGGGTCGTGTTTCTGTCTTTTGGAGAGGTTAATGGACACAGTGACCTTTTAAAAGACCAGAATGTCTTCGTCTTTACTTAGTGACAGAACAGTAATGTGAACACTCACTAGAAGTTACAAATATGGATATGATGCATTATCAGTGGATGCTTCCCCTGCTGCCATACATGCATGCTTATTTGCATCATCATCTCTGACAGACTGGCACATTAACAGGCTTAATTACAATCTTCAGAACAGATTTACAGCCTCCCTCGTTAACTTCCCATTTCTCTTGATGTAGTTCCCGCTTATTGTTGTTGTTTTTTAATTTTTTAGTTAGTGTTTATGGAGTACTTGAAGTGACAAAAAGTACAATGAAAACAATTTTAAAGAATTATTAATGATTAATCACCTTCTGAATCCTGTTTTAGTCAATTATTAGTCTTTCTTTCCTCTTCCTTCCCTTTTTTTGGTCATGTGTCAAATCTTGTTTCTATACTGTACGCGTATCATGTGTCGGTCACAAGTTGACCCACAGCATTCACAACAGATTTGGTTGACACTCCTTTCTCTTCCTCTTCTTTCTGTCCCTCAGCTGATCATGTTGAAACGACGGCTTTTCCCCAGACGCAGGGTCAGCAAGGATGTGAACCCAGAGCGGGTGTGAGGTTATTCCTCTCTCAGAGGGTGTGTCGTGACAATACGAAGTACCACAGAAGTACTCGCGTTAATGCCGTCAGATAAACTAGCCCATTTGGAGGTGACTGGATGAAGTTGATGTAGAAACTTCGAGGTACAGGCCTCCTTCACAAAGGGGCATTAGTGAGGCACACTGCGGCCCGCGAGGCAAGCGGCTTTCTCTCGTCCCGCGATCACACTCCAGGTTGTCTATTGAATGTGAACTGAACTCAATATTGAGTGTGAGTTGCCTTTTAAGTGTTTGAAATGTGATGATTTGAAATAGGAACATCAAGGGTAAAGTACTACCTGCAAAGGGTTGTTCTTTCTCTTGCTCTCTTTGTATTGTCTTTCCTTTCTCATCCTTGGTGCCTTTCTTTACCACATGAATGAAAGCGGTGGACTCTGATGCACGGCTGGAACTCTCTGCCTTGTGTTTGGCTTTTTGCATCTGTCTTGCTCTCTCTTGCTTATTCCAAAGTGGCACAAAAATCTCCGGGAGTGTATTTAAAACCAAACGGCAATCCTGAAACTTGGTAATTCGAGCAAGGATCATCAAAAAGGAGCCATTTCTTTCTCTTTCTCTTTCTAATGACTGTCGTTTTTGCTTGAAGTCCTTCACGTGCTTGTCTCTTTGTGAGACATTAAATACCAACTGTCTGAAATTCAGATGCCACTGCCTGTGGCCCTCATGTGTATTAATTAACTCTTCACCTTCACTTGTCTTTAAAAGGGAATTGTTGTTTTTTGCTTGCTCATACGTTACAACTACTGACCCCAAACCTCTGCAGGGCGTACGTACCTGATAAAACAGGTTTGAGTTTATAATAACGCATTGAATGATAATGCTGTTCTGAGACGTATTTCCCTGTTTACTTTTATTTATTAGGTTATGAAGGACATAATCGTAATATACAAGCATATCACTGTTTTATTTTGGAAATGTAGGTTATTAAAATTCTTTCTAAATACGTTTTAGGTTTCTAAATTATACTGACACTTTACCACTTTTGTGTCAATTGTAAATTTAACCAGAAACTGTGCCTCTTTTAAATTTTTTTTTTTTTTTTGGGAATTTGCTCAAGCTGAAAAAAGAGTTTGATGAACATAATCTGAATGGCATAATGTAATGAAACCGCAAAATCTGTCAATTAAAAGTCTTTCAAAATCATGAATGCTTTGATATGCCTTGAATGCTTTGAAAGCTTCTCGCTTTCAGAAAGAGGAAATGAATTTAGACAGAGCTCTATTCAAATCACACAAAATTTATTTTTTTATTAGCCCTTTGGGAGGAGATGATTCTAAGCAGGCAGAGATAGTGCATCATAAAACGGGCACAAAGGATAATCCCTCTAAACCCCCTCGAAAAAATCCTTGTCCCTGTTTTTAACACAGCCACAATCCTTGACAATTAAGTTCTTTCAATTATTATTTTTGTTCTGTTCGACAGGCTTGACTTAATTTCACACTAAATTCAGTCAGATTATTTAAATAAATACATACACTGTAATCACTGGACAATCACAAAAAGCTACAATGGCTGTTTGGGCAAAGTTGATTTCTGGATCTTATTTATTTTTTTTTTTTTATGCAAAGTCTCGCAAGATCTACAAATAGCTGCTTTTTTTAATGACCGTAAAAATCCTAAACGGTAAAAAGGTTCTGTGATGTAAACCATTGGCAGTTTGTCGACTATATGAGGTCTTAAATACAACAACGAAATTTGCAATACTTTTTTCTTTTGTACTTTACCAAGATCAGAGGTATAAAATGTGTCTAAATGAAATTATGGATATTATATTATGTAGAAAAACAGGTTTATATTCGATTTTAAAAAAGCAGAAGATTAATTGATCGCCCAAACTGCAGTTGTAGCTTCCCTTTTTCTTAAAAAAAAAAATTGACAACATGATCAAACCCAAAAAGCAAAGAGCAAATCTATTTTGATGAATACTACAGTAAGAAAAAATTCCCCCATTTATTATTTTTTTGGGCTATTTTTGATAATTGATAATCTTAATCTTTGACCAAATGCTTTGGATTAGAAATATTTGGGCCATGTAAACTTTTTGGCCAATTCATCTTTAGTGAATGATTTGATTTCCCAACAATTTCCAATGTATTCTTTGAAATAATAACAATCTATAGTTCGTTCCAGCACAGAATGAACCATTTCAAGGCAACAGAAAACTTGAAGTTGGCTAAGTGAAGCTCTGGCCCTGAGGCCATGTTTTGTACATTTTGTTGTGTCTAAACTTTTTCTTTTGATCCAGTGAGTGATTCTAGTGTACATTTAGTGTGGAAAAACAATACGAGCTGTTCTTACTCAAGATGGTCAGGTCAAACCTGGCAAAACGTTCAGTTCTGTTAGTTTGTGGTGGTCACATTGTCAAGGCCGTTGTGGTTTTGGTTTGTGGGGTTCTCCTGCTCTAGCTTGAGAAGCGGGACGACGTCTTCATTCTTACATCCTGCTTTCTCCTCCCGCCGGGCAAATTGTCAGTCTCTGTGGGTGTGGCCCTGTGGGGTGATGCTGAAAACCCGGATTCGTAGGTGGGAGGCGATTTGCAGGCATATGCTCATGCAGTAACGCACCAGATCCACCAGGGACAGCACCTAAACAACGGTGATTGAGATGAGACAGACTTGTTTAGTTTTGACTCAAATGCTATTTGAATGGAAGATTTTTTTTCTGACAGAATAAAAAAAAAAAAAAGACTTTTCTCAGAATTTTGAGACATAAACTTGTGTTATGAAGTTTGAATTCTGAAGAAAAAAAAAACTTAAACTTAAAAAAAAATTTAAGTTATTTAAAGTTTATATCTCAAAAATGTATTTTTTTATTCTGAGGCAGGAAAAAGCTTCCAGAATTTGCTCATAACATACATTGCTCAGAAACCACACAGCTTTATAGTATGTTCGAAAACTTATGTTTGAAGCAGTTAAATTGAATTCCTACACTGAAGGTTTGACCCGCTAATGGTTTCGGCTCACCATGGCGATCCAAAGTACAATGTGTTCATCAATAAAGCTGTTGAAATACTGATTTAGGAAGAGGAGTCCAGGACCAATGAAGGCTGTGTCCTGAAGATGAAGCTCACTCTTGGTCATGTGGGCCACCTGTAGAGCAAATCATACCTGAAAAAACCTGATACACTTTAGATGGTTTTAGATGACTGTTAGAAGCTCATGTAGGCACCAGCTACATGAGAAACACTCACCACCAGCTTATTTGAGATCTTGGCGATCACCATGCCAAATGTAAGAACATAAAGGCAAGGGTGGTGCTCGAAAAGCTGACTGGAGGACTTTTTAAAGATGATGAAGGCCAGAGTGAGGATGAGGCCGATGTGTAGACCAGGAGACAACACACTTGTGTCCTGAGGAAGATGTGCACTGTTTAAGTTACCCTATATTTTAACAAAGACCACTTTTTTTTTTTACTTTGCATTGTTAAACCTTGAAAATGAGTCATCATATGAAGCACAAAGCTAAAAAAAACATGACTGCAATGGGATTCGATGCTTTTAAAGAACAAAAACAACAAAGACTGTAATGACCCAAGCACTGCTGGAGTGCACTTACTGCAACGGTTGAGCCGTTCTTGCCCACGCCACCATTCAGGATGATGTAGAAGTAGTTATAGGTTGAATACAGGAACCCGCCGATGATGCCGAGAATTGGAAAGGTTTGCAAATTCACACCAAGAACAGGCAACTGGGTGAAACATATGAGAATATATAATATTAGAATATCTGTTAGTTCGTGGCTCATGTGAGCAGGGGTGCTGGGAAAGGGTGAGGCTGAAGCTCTGAGTATGCTTTTAAATGGGGAGGTTTGAAAAGACTGATGCGCGTGTTGAAGTAATCAGCTGTTTTCTGCTTTTTTTGGCAAAATAATGTCTATGGGTGACTGGTAGCCATGAAAGCAGTTTTTACCTACATTTTACCTTTTTACAGTCTGTCTTCGGACTGGAGGCAGAGAGCCAAAAACAGAAGGTCTACTTAAAGAACACACTCAGATAGGGGGCTCTGTCATGATTCACAGTTTTGAAGGGTTGAATTATTATTATTTTTTTGTAATATTATAGTCCGAACACTTTTAAAAGAATTACATGAAACCATGTGTACACTGGAAGCACCCAATTGCATGTCACACTGCAACTGAGGTTATTATATTAAATTATAATAAATTATATTTACTAGGGCTGTTAAACGATTAATCGCAATTAACCGCGTCCAAAATAAAAGTTTGTGTTTACATAATATATGTGGGTGCATTGTGTATAATTATTTTATATATATAAATACACACACATGCACGTATATATTTAAGAAATATTTTCATGTATAGATTTATATATAATTCATATTATATATCAATATTTTATATACAAATAATATTTTTTTCTTAAATATACATGCTTGTGTGTGTATTTATACATACAAAATAATTATACACAGTGCACCCACATATATTATGTAAACACCAACTTTTATTTTGGACGCAGTTAATCATTTGACAGCCCTAACATTTACTTATATCCTATGTATTAATATATTAGCATTGTGAATAAATGTTATATATTTACCTAAATGTATTATTTATATTATATCTATTCAAATTTATTAATTAGGATAAACCCCTTGAGATGCACCATCTAATAATATTATTATTGAGAATAAACTTGTAAATAAACAAACCACTAATAAAAAGATATTACATTTATCTTTTTATTATTATAATTATTATTATTGTGAATAAACGGGTAAATAAATAAAATATTTACATTATTATATTTAAATACATTTAGGTAGATATAATATAAATGAGCTTTTATTTATTTACATGTTTATTTGTTTATCCACAATACTAAAATTATAATTATATCGATAGGTTTATATTATATTTACCTAAATTTAATACTATTATTATGTTAGTGTTTTGAACAAGTTAAAAATAATTAATAAAAAATGTGAACTCATACATGAGGAAAAATAATTATATAATGATCTAGTTAGTATATTGATGACTGTATCGTCCGTGTGTTGTGACTGGCCACATTGGACTTTCCTAGTGTAGACGGTTTCAGTGATTATAATGGGAGTGAGTTCATGAATGTTATGACAAAGAAACTCAGAGTTCTGTCTGTTAGAGAAGGTGATTGACGTACCCTAGTCTCCCAAAGACTCACTCCTCCGAATGCTGTCATGATATACATGATCACAATAGCAATCTGGACCTCTGTCACGTCAACTCTGCAGAAACCATTCAAGAAAAAAACACAGTTTGAAAAAAACAAAACACAAACAGTTTCAATGAATTCAGTCGAATAAGCCATGAACAGATGCACTCACAATCCGAAGCGGAGTGTTCCAGACACGTACGTCTGCCAGTGCGCGCAGAAAAACATGAACATGCCCACAAAGCCACAAAAAAACATCCAGTTAGGGTGAGCGCCGATCCCACAGGATATACACGTTCCCACGGCAACAAACACTAAGAGAGCAATCCAATTAGAATGCGGTTAATATATACAGATGTAAATAAACAACAAACAGCATAAATCTACTGCTAATCAATGAAAGTATTACCCAATATCCCCCATGTTTTAGGGTGTAGCTAGTTGGTTGCTTACTGGCTCAATTTAAAAGAGGTTTGATCAAACTACTAACTGTAAGTATAATACTGATGGTTGCCTTAGAAAGCACTACTAAATATTACTCGTAAATAAAGGATGAAAAGTTGTCTGGCTGGTTATACCTGTTGAAACGGCGTCACAGCCATGGTCAAAGAGCTCCCCAAGAGCTGAGCTGCTATTGGTCCGCCTGGCCTGCTTTCCATCAATGGCGTCCAGCGATTGGTAGATGAAGAGACCTAAGGCGCTGAGAATAAAGGCCCAACCTGGAGCCTAAAAAGGATAGATATGAAGGAAAAAATAAAGGCCAGGCCTTTGAACAAATAAGCATTTTGAAGACCTGGTTCTTCTTGTTTGACTCAACTAAAGCCAATGAGGCATAATCATTTTTCCAAATGATATTAAATGCTCTTTGTTCATTTATCTGCAGTTTTTTACATTCAACCACTCAAGCTCGCAGATTTCTTATGCCAAGAGAGAGCAAACAAACCCTCAAACTAATCTTTGACCTCTTACTGATATGGATGGTTTGTATTATTTTATGCAAGACTGAAAAAAAAAAAAAACTTGTCAAGGATAGCAAACAAGGACACAAAGGAGATTTTTTTTTATCTTCTTTCCTTTAATAGATACAGTTAAAACCACTATTTTCCCATTGGGAAAGAAGCACATCAGCCATTTATTATTCAAGCTAAGCAGAGTGAGAATAATCAAATAATATGAAGGAAATAATCTGTACAAATGTGAAATGATTTAAGTAGACGGGCGTAATTGTCTGCCCTAGATTGTTTGCTTTAATGCTCCGTTTCTTACTTATCTAGGCGTATTTTTCCCCATTATTCATTCCATCCCTCTATGTAGATTGGAAATATAAGATTTAGCATATTAGCATGGGTGTAATAGAGTAACAGGGGTGATAATAAGGGATAAAGGTTGAAAAAAATACCATATAAAGACATGAGTAACCAATATGACATTGTGTAGTGCTTTGAAAAGACCCATAAACGTGGATAATGCGAAATTAGAAGACTATGTACACGTTGTTTAAATCAAGGGTTGTGTGTGTAAGTGTAAAAGTCCAATATGGGCAAAGGTCCATGTGGCCTACAGGGTCGATATCCCAGAGAGCCTACATGCAGGCCGTCTGGTTTCACTGCACATTCACAAAACAGAATAAATCCCCTGTGTTTCAGATCCATCAATTCAGTACTTTTCATTTAAAAATCTCTTGAAGGCTTTTAATGTGTTAAATAATGTTAAGTCGGTGACTTTGGATGTGATTGTTGTTAAGAGAACTCAATATCAGGCCTATGCAGCAGTACAGATACTGATCATTTACATTATATGAGATGATGCACTGTGCATGTTTGTCGTATTAAATGTGGACCTAATATGTGGATTAAAATAGTGATATGTGTGTGTTATCTGGCATGCCTTTTGTCTCATATGCTGACCAAGTCTGCAATTATTTGATCAAAAATTGAGTGACATTTTCAATCTGAGTATATTTTAAATGTAGTTTATTTCTGTGATGGTAACCCTGAATTTTCTGCATCATTACTCCAGTCTTCAGTGTGACATGATCTTTTAGTAATCATTATAATATATGCTGATTTTGCGCTCAAAAAAACAAACAAAAACGTAATATTAATATTATCCATGTTAAAAATGGTTTTATATTTTCTGTGGAAAATTCAAGATACTTTTTTTCAGGATTATTTGATTAAAAAAAGAAAAAAAGGTTCAAAAGAACGTGTTTATTTTAAATCAATATAAATTGTGTCGTTATAAAGGTTTAACTGTCACTTTTACTGATAAAAGCATTAATTACTTAAATCTTACAGACCTTCATGATTTATTATCCCAGCATTGATCCACTTAGATAATTGATGTAGTTCAGATAGCATCATATTATGGGTTTCTGTTGAATAAAACAAGTCTCCTCCATTGTATTTACTCTTTTTTATTATTTCAATGCACTTAAATAAAGGCACTCAGATTATTACCTTTTTTTCAAGTTAAACCAACAATACTTTTTCTACAGTGTGTAGTAGTGAATATCACAGTTGTGATTACCTGTGGCTTGGCCTTGTGCTAATATTCAATACAGCAGCTCTTGCTCATCATGAAATATTGTTTAATTATAATATATGATTATGACATAACCAATACCTGACCAACCTGATAAGTTTGTCTCCGGGTCAAAGTTCACCCCCTTTATCTATGTTCTATCCTGGCAACAGGTGGGTTAAAGTTGTGCATTCAACAGCAATCTCCAAAACTGCATAGCAATAAACAGAGGAATCTGGACTTTGCCAGTGGACTATGATTCTGGAAATATGACACAGGGTACTGTGACATGTGGTCACAGGGCCGCCAGGAATCAGATAGAGAGGGTCAACACCTAAAATAACAAACAATGATCTGCATGGCCTTCACAGTCAATAAATCTGAGAAAGCTGCTTACAATGCCTTCCAAGCAGGCAACACTTTGTAGTAACATGTTGCATGTAGGCTATAATATAGTAGTAATAACAGTATAGCTTAAACCAAACCCTAATCTCACAACTAAGTACATGTAGCTAACTAATATTGCTCACTGTAGCAACGTCACCTTAAAAGGAAGTATAGCCCAGTTTCATAACACATCAGTTAACATGAATCGATAAACCAATGTTCAACTAGAAACAGCGTCCTAAAAATGCACAAAGACGAAGCTATGAAACGTTACTTGTGTGTGTGTATAGTCTTCGTTCAGCACCGCTGAAAGCAATGCAAGCCTAAAATGTGAGTGTTTATTTTTAAAACTGACGTTGCCAGTCAGAGCATTTAAATAGAACGACACACGTAACGCTGTCACTCAAAGTTTCGCTCGCGCCCGAACTGAACTCACCTCCTCCGTGGCCGTGGGGCTGTAATACACGAGAATGACCGTCGTTACGATGTTAATGATGAGTCCAGTGATGGTCAGCGTGTTCGGCGCGACCCATGTCGGGATCTGCTGGACCAGCCAGTTCCAGTATATCTGGCAGGGCGGCTCGAAGAGAGAGCGACCGGCCGCGCTGTACTTGTGTTCCTCCAGGCGCTTGAGCTGGACCGCAGACAGCGGCTCCGGACACGCGCACATTATGATCGCTCTTTTGGCAGGGTCAGTGCAATGGTTTGGTCCTAATCCCCAAGTGACCACATAGAAGACGACATTAGCTTGCGGTGGTTACGTGTGGAGAGACATTTTGATGAGCGGAACCGACATGCTCCTCCGTTCCTAATAGTTGAGAGAGAGCAGATAAACATAGAGGTGCAGGAAACTGCGGTCCGGAAGAGGACACAGCCGGGAAATTTAAATGCATGCTGTATTGCGTCTGACCAACAGAGGCAGTCTTGTTGTTATTAACATATCTATTAAATATGTATTATCTATTAAAAACATATCTGATCTATTTAAATCTTTTTGTTCTAAAAATAAGAAATAAGCTGAAATACAATATAAATATTAGATGAAAAACATTGACTTCTTATTTAGGTTAGTTGCAAAGGCAAGATTTCTAATTTTGGCTTAAATCGAATTACTAAAACTTACATAAACATTTAAAGTTTTGTTTAGATGCTAATAAAAATAACTACTAGAAATTACAAATAATAATATGTTGGACATTTCATGCACTAGATATAATTTAGGGTCAAATATTTATAGATATTTTTTTCATGATTTGTTATATCAACCTTTTTCCTTTTGTCAAATCAGCTTAGACAATCAATGTGGTTCAGATAACATATTAATTTGAGTTTCTTTTGATTAAACCAATCTCCTTCAACTGTATTAACTCAAATGTTTTATTTCAATGAACTCACTTTTTTTAAGGCAACCAGGTAACTTACTTTTTTTAAGTTAAACCAACCATAATTTTTACAGTGAATTTCCTAATGGTTACCTACACTGTAAAATTGCTTTATCTAATCAATAGAATTGTGGCTTTTAACCTTTTAAAATGAGTAAAGTTTACACCAAAAAAAACATAACAAAAACATATGAATAACAGACGGGCGTCAAAGATTAATTAACAACTCTTTATTTTATATTCCCAAAGTTGAAGACACCTGATGTTGACAAGCAGAATCACAGAATCATTTTAAAACAAACCTAAAACAAACACTGATCACCATAATGGCGACTTAATTTATTAATTTTTTTTTTTTTGGTTGTTGTTAGTTTTACCATTTTAAATGGTTAACTTTTAAGGAATTAATTTGATTAATTATTACTCAATTCTAATTTGTTAAATTTAATTAATAATATTGCTTATAAGACCAATTTTTTTGATTAGATAAAGCATATAAATTTTTACAGTGTAAAAAAACAAAAGGGATGGATTTTTATGAAAGTAATATTTAGAATTAAGAATTATATGATTTGAAACCCAAATATATATAGAGCCAGATAATAGACTATAGATTGATAATAAAACATATTTTGTGCCCAAAGAACAGTGTTGTCAAATCTAGCAAAACAAAAACTCAAGCCCAAAATAAGCTAAAAATGGAGAAAGGGGCAAAGCTATATTGCAGAAAGTAATTTTTCAAATAAGAAACTTTCGGAAACAATAAAGAAACAGAAAAAAAAAAATCATATAGAGACATTTATTCAACTGTCATGCTAAAATGAACATTGGCATGTACTATCAAGCAACCTTCGACAAACCTGTCTCTCTGACACTGACTTATCTGTCTGATGTCTGATCTGTCAGTAGTACAGTATTAACATTGCTAATCGAGGTGGATTTCAGTAGATTCACTAAAGAATGATGGAAAGGGGTTGAAAAACTCAGGGGTAAAATCAAACGGCAAAAAAAAAAAAAAAAAAAAAGAAAGCCTGAAACGGCAAAACCCAGACTTTGGACCACCCTCGTCTCCCAAACCCAGAAAAAACTTAAAGGAACTGCATCATCATATTTTATCTGTAAAAGACTGCTCAATGTTTTTCACAATAAAATGTCTATTTGGGGTATATTTTGAAGCTACAATCCAGTTTACTAAAGGCATGCATCTGAGTTTCAGTGACAATTCTTAAAACACAGCTTTACATGATTTCACAGTGACAGACGCAGACTTTCTAACTATAGATCCATTTCTTAACAAAGCATACCATGCCAAAGACACATATGCCATTATTTGTAGTAGTGACATGGGTTTCTGGGTAATCATTCAGTGAACCAGCCTTCAGTTGGATCCCTTCTTCTCTCACTCGGATTTCTCTGAAGTCTTAGACTCGTTCATGTACTTATCAATGAGGTGTAAGGGAACGCCTCGCTTCATCAGCTCAAAGAACGTAAAACCTCCTGAAAAAGGGAAGGATAGACAGAGTCAGAGATATGACACTGAAAACACTGAAACTATGAGATTCATGTGGGCTCTTCACATATACAGTGGCCATAAGCCATACTTAAAAATGTCTGAAAGTCTTAGTATTATATAAAATACCATATCTAGTGTCATTTATTTTAAAGAAAGACAGCCCAAATGATAAACAATAGTTCAAAATGTAGATGGTTGTTTACTAAGACATCTGTTTAAACTTCCGGCATTATATTGATACAGAAAAAAGTCAAAAGTTAAAAGCCTGAACGTCATTTGTTTGCAGACACACTTTTACTTATTACAGATATATATATATATATATAGATATATTTCAGCATGACCCTAATGCATTGACATTCAGCCATTTTTAAGTGTGACTTCAAAAACTTTTTGGGGGCTAATGTATACAGAGAGAAGAAGTAGAGACAGACAAGAAGAAAAGGAAGAAGACAGTAAAATCAGGACAGGAATGTGTCAGTGTTTGGCAAGTGCAGAAAAAATGTTGAGGCAGTGAGTACAATCAAATCTCTGCAAGCTTTTGCAGCTATTCAGGCGCTCATAACATATTTCATCATTGCATGTCTTATCTTTGCTTGCTGTAGCATGTTGAGCTGCATGAGTAGTGGTTGAATGTGCTATAAATGAAGCTGCATATGCAAATGACCATCGTTATAAATATACAAAGCACATACATGTAGGTTCACAGTGAAAGCACCTGCAGAGATTATACATCAGAATCGAGTTTTGCTTCTGATCGCTTAGTCTCAAGAGAAAAAGGGGTAACATCCAATTTTGTGGCAATTCCTGTGTCTATAATTAGGATTTTACTTTAGCAGTATAAAGTATTTGTTACTTGTTACATTTATTTTGTCAAGTAATTGATACACATTACTTTTTTATTTAATAATGTACACTTGAAATCCTTTCTCTTAGGCATGTTGGGAGAAATAGGTGCACATGTATTGTGGGAGTTGTTTGAGCATGATGGATATTTGTCTAAGGAGTGCGTCATGATCATTGACGTACAGAGCGCAAACTTTTTTTTCCCCACCTAAACCAATATTTTGGGTTTTAAAACTTACATAGTGCTGGTATTGGTAAATATGCCACTTTAAAAGTCTTTTTGTGGTATAAACTGTGTCATTGCATGCAAACTATGTTGGGTGGACGAACACTTAAAGTAACATTTACAGCATAAAAAATGCCTGCAAGTAGGGCCGTCAAACGATTAATCGCGATTAATCGCATCCAAAATAAAAGTTTGTGTTTACATAATATATGTGGGTGCACTGTGTATAATTATTTAATATTTATAAATACACACACTTGCTTGTATATATTTAAGAAATATTTTCATGTATATACTGTATATAGATTTATATATAATTTATATATGTAAATACAAATATTTTATATATAAATAATATTTAATAATAATAAATATTTATACATATTTTTATATAAATTTATAAATATTTTATATATAAATAAATAATAATAAATATTTGTTTCTTAAATATACAGTACATGCATGTGTGTGTATTTATATATATATATATATATATATATATATATATACACACAAAATAATTATTCAAAGTGCACCTACATATATTATGTAAACACAAACTTTTATTTTGGATGCGATTAATCACGATTAATCGTTTTACAGCCCTACCTGCAAGCCAAGCATAGTGCTTCCATTCTGGAGGAGAAAGAGTCTCAGTTAGACGCTGTTGAGAAAAAAGTAATTTATAAAAGAATTTATAATTATAATGATTAGCACCAAATTCTAACTTTTAAAGAGTAATTCCACCGGTGGAGACATGAATATGTTTTGAAAGTGGGTCATAAATGTTGTATAATAGTATCATAAATTTCTAATTTGGGTTGTCCTTGCCTGATAAAAGGCAGAAAATTACTTCTTAGTGCTTGTGGATTGTAGACAACAATCCCCATAGTGCATTGCAATGCAGGCCACTCCCACTTCTCCACCCTTCAATGTAGACTAGAGTTGAGCTCCACTATACGCTACCGCCAGGAAATCATTTTGCACAATGAAATCAGATATTGCGCGCTAATATAATAGGACGATGTAAGAGCGTCAAGGCAGCGCCCGCGCCATCAGCCAATGAATTGGCATGATTCTATATGGGCTTCAGACAATCGCCACGCTTACTCTGACGCGTAATTTTACATGTGAAATGCAGCCAAAACTTGGAGCGTTTTGTCTTCGGCATCTACATTAATCCCCTCGCTATCAGACGTTCTGGGAGTCTCCCGCATATTGATAATGGCTCCCTGATGGATGCAAATGAGTTAAAATCTCCCGGAATGTAGAGCGAGCTAGCAAGAGCACGTATGCGAGACAAGACTGTGCTCCAAACCGTATAGTGCGCGCGAGAGACTTTACGTGTGTGCACCTCATGACATAGAGGAAAATTTCGTTCTTATTCGGTCTGGTTATAACTGTTTACGTCGGAACAGTTTCCCTATTTCGGTACCCAACCCTATCCATAATGCATCCGTCTGCATATTCAGTACCTTTGTCCATATTTTCAAAAAGTTTCTGCCGGCGAAATCAAACGCACTGGCACTGATCTGTGATAGGTCTGTTAGCGCATTAGGTCCAACCCCCTATGGGCGGGTTTGAAAGTGTGGGATCTAGTGCTTGTAGTCTTTCCCAAACCCCCCTCTTACACTTCCTCTTACAATGATGTAAAATGACGATTTTTGCGTCATTGTAGGAGGAAGTGAAAAACGTAGATAGCGGATTTCTCTCGTCTCAGGGGAAAATGAGAGAGTGTTGCACGACCATTCAGTTGTAAGACTAGATTTCTGTCAATGGAAATCTTAATGCAAATGGGTGGAGTCTCCCTTTAAAAGTAACATTCCCCAACACTGGTTGACTGTCAAAAGCATGCACAGTATAAATTCTGTTTTCCTGGTCACCACGATTTCACTAATACATGTACCTGAATCAACATAATTTGTTGATCCTGGAACAACATTCCTGTCCAACAATGTAGTCCTAATCCTGACCCTACCCATAACATATCCCTTAAATCAGAGGGACATAATGGGTGAATAACACTGATGTAGAAGCACCTAACCCTGGTTGTAAGTCTACACTTGACATAAACAGTAAAGTTGTTCCTCAAATATGATTGGTTGATTGGAATGTTGTTCCAGGATCAACAAAGATGTTGCGCTTGGTGAAATCACATTCACCCAGTTGTCCTATAGAACCTTAAACTGGTTCTTGGAGTTCTTGTAGAATCCTGTAAACATTCATGATTCAGGAATATAATTCTCAAATTCTAGAGCATTACACACCAGCAAAGAGCATAAGCAGAATTATTGGCAACCAAGGGATGCAGAATGAATGAAAAAATAAGCTTCATATGCCCGAAACCATATGAAAGCTTACCTTGAATGAGAACAACACAGTAACTATTCCTGAGTGATGACTGGGGGAGAAAAGAAAATACGGATTAAACCCAAAGTTTACATGGAGGAGTTATATGTGCTATAGGTCTATCACTGACTTAGTCATTACAGATTTAACATGAAGGAGTTAAAGGACATACCACAGTCTAACAAAAGGGAAACAGCTAAATGACAATGTATGACAGAGTATGAAAACATGTCAGCAGTACATGATAAAGGCCCGAATATGCAAATGTAATCTGAGTTTTTATCAGGTCTAGGATTTCTCACAGACCTGCTAAACAATGTGCAATGGGTGTGGCCATGTGAATCTGCTTTCTACAATCTGTTGCATTATGGGATGTGTGGTCCAGTCACAGTGGTGAGATGAAATTGATTTGGATTTGCTGCATGCTGTTGCAAATTCAGTGGAGTTTGCGAACACAAAATACTTAAATGGTCATATTTTGTTGAGAGAGATCTTACAGCTGTACTAAATGCACATACTGTAGAAATGAGACAAATAGCTCAAAAAAGCTTCATAACAAACTCGGCTTTGTTTTTTGTCTAAACACGATATGATGAAAAGCTACACAGTACTATTATAAACAAGTGTGACCATGTAAGAGAGAATTAAGGCTTGTTCCAACAATGTACTTACCCTTGAAATCCACAAACGAGATTGAGACATTCTTCATATTACCAGTTTAAAAGACAAAAAATGGTATTGGAACTACGGTGGACCAAAGTGCTGTAATCGTGTGCACAATAATTGGTTGGTTAGGTGTAAAAACAGTGTTTAGGTTGGAAATGAAGCCGTATTGCAACCCGGTCTCATCCCAAGACGTCATATAACTGATGTTTTGGGACGTCTTTTGACCATACATCAATAATAGCCTTTTTAGGGCCCCCTTAAACGTCGGTAGATGAGTTATGGGATCCTAACCTACCCCATACTAAACTAACCCTAACCTAGTTAACTGACGTTAAAGGGAAAGCGTCAGTTGTATGACGATCGCCATCTACCGACGTTTAAGGGGGCCTGTATTGACGTATGTCAAAATAGTCAAACGTCAGTTTATGACTTTGGGAATGAACCTGTGTTACGATGGCACTCTTGAAGGCAAATGAACCCCTTTGTCAGGCTCTTCATTCAGTCTTTTGTTTAAATGGTTAGTTCACCCAAAAAGGAAAATTCGGTCAGTATTTACTCACCCTCATGTTGTTCCAACTCTCAATCTTCGTTCAATAGTTGAAATAAAGTCATTATTTTTGTTGTTTTTTTGTGCACAAAAAGTGTTCTCGTCATTTGATAAAGTTAAGATTGAGCCACTGTAGTCACTTGGACTATTTTAACGATGTCTTTAATAACTTTTCGAGGCCAGCAAGTTTCAATCCCTCAAGAAGCCTATGGACTAGTATGCAGGAGTGAGACAGCTCTCAGATTTCATCAAAAATATCTTAATTTGTTTTCCGAAAATGAACGAAAGTCTTACGGGGTTGGAAAAACATGAGGGTGAGTAAATACTGACAGAATTTTCATTTTTGGGTGAACTAACCCTTTAAGCTCTGTTGGTTACCTCATTGTAAACGCATTCTACTCAACAGTAAAGGCCCCGATATACTCATACACCCTAATTTTCGTTCTTCACTAATAATATATCTATGAAAAGAAGTTTGAAATACGTTTGTAGCGATATTCTGTTAGTGAACACAGTAGCGTCGTTTAGATTAATATATAAATATGTGAGGCGTATCTTCCTCTCAAGAACAAAAGATGTCTCCAATCGTCACGTCATGCTTATTTATAAACCACTTAATACAATATATTGCCTTAAAGTAAGCAGCTTTACAGTATTAAACATAAAAGCAGCTCTCCAGTATATTCATGTTTTACTCGCGTATGTGACGTCTGACCTCGATGGTCTGAATAGAAGAAATGAACTAGAAGATTCCCATGTCAACGAAGGCGGAGCCCCAGAGCCACGCCTACCTACGTATTATTTAATCACCACGGACCAATGCTAGTTTGAATGCGTATACCAGCTAGAGTGAACTTTTCTCGAAAGTTCAGTTCATGTTTTTGTTCTGATTTTGTTCAAAACGACCAATTCGTTCCAATTCGTGAAGTATATCAGGGCCATCCCTATAACATCCCTCTTCAATAAAAATCAGATGTAATATTCCCAATTGAATCACTAAATGACTATATTAGGCATGTATCCCCTTAAAGGGCTCATTTTACAACTCCCTCAGTTAAACAGTTGAGTTTTACCATTTTCGAATACATTCAGCCGATTTTCTGATATTTAGAAGAAGTAAAGTTTCTGGTCCCATTGACTTCCATAGTAGGAAAAAATATATACTATGGAAGTCAATGAGACCAGAAACTGTCTGGTTACTGATATTCGTCTAAATATCAGAAAATCGTCTGAATGGATTCGAAAACCCAACTGTTTAACTTTAAAATGTTCATTTTAAAAATGGAGTATCTCTTTAAAGGAGTGTTCTTAAGAAGTTATATCCATATTGATGATCAAATGAATGCACAGACTACCTTTGACCTCTAGTTTGCAGTCCACGTGAGCCTCTCCAAGGTCATTGACAGCCTTGCAGGTGTAAACCCCTCCATCAAACGGGCTGGGCTTTCGGATCTCAAGCGTACACACACCCTGGTTGCTGAACATGCGGTAACGTGGGTCGTCTATGATGGTAATCTTGTTTTTCATCCAGATCACCTTAGGCTGAGAGCAGTTGTGGAGTATAGTATGAATACACAGGAAACAACAGATAACATCACTAGTGAAGAGGAACCAAAGCCGTATCAATCCATCAAACACACAGTGTTCTACTCTTCTCACATGTGTTAGTTACAGTAGAGTATTGAGTTATTGACATTAATACAATGTTATGATCCAGTGAGTCTGTGCTCAAAGATTATAACTAGCAGGTGCTGTTAAGCCCATTGGGACTCTCGCAGTTCAGGCCACAAAGAGCTAACTACTGGTGTAAAGCCATGAGCACATGGTTGGTGCCTTGCAGAATCACCCACAACCTTGTGTGGTTTCCATTGATCATTGGAATTCGTGCAATACGTTTTTCAATGCTTATCAATTTTACCCTTTATTTTTTGTACTTGGGCAGATTACTTAGCAGGGATTGAATTTCTTTGACGCTGTTTAAACCTGGTATTAGCAACTATTTAATGGACAGTGCTAAATATAGATTTAAACAAATGTGTGGTGATTAGATTAGTCAAATTATATTCGGAGGTTGTCAGAAACTCATGTGACTGTGTTGCATTTATGATTATACTGTACATCCGGATGAGTCGGTGAAAGACCGCCTATCCATGTCAATGAATTCAGAGCTAAGAACCATACAATCGAAGAGTTGTTTATATAGCCCTGACTCATTATGCTATATTCAGTGACACAGATCATTTGCTTTTAATAAAAGTATCTGCTAAATAAAATGTTTTGTTTAAAAAAAAAAAAAGATATTTATGGTTTTATTCACCAAGGATGCATTACAAGTGATCAGAAGTTACGGAAATCTTTTGTAAAATTATAAATATCTTTACTATTTCAAATCAAATGCTGTTCTTTTGAACTTTATATTCATCGAATAATCCTAAAAACTGCTGAACAATCAGGTTTGCTTCACAGGAATAAATTATGTTTTAAAAATATTAAAATAGAAAACAGTTATTTATAATAATATTGTGCTTTATCAAGTGCAGTAATATAATGACATGGCAAGTGATATCAGGTGTAAACGGGGCCTTTATGTCTTCTGATCTAAATTAAATGTGCGTGAATAACAGTTGAAAATGGAATTACCTGTAAAAAAAATATTTTTATGATTAGTAATCACAACTTTTTTTCTGTTGTCAAATCAACTTAAATAATTTATTTAGTTCAAATAACATATCATTTTGAGTTTCTGATGATTAAATCATTCTCCTTCATTGTATTAACTTACTTTTTCCATTTCAATGAACTTAAAATTTAAAGGCAACAAGGTTACTTACTTTTTTTAAGTTAAACCAACAGTGTGTCTGAGGTGATGGAAAAAAAATATGGCAAAAGCACACTTTTTAAGGGGACATTTTTTCACAGTCATCTCAGTGGCCAAAACGTATCCCAGATGATCTGAATTTCCCATACCTTTCTAGTAGAGTGTCCTGCCAGTCACTTACCCTAGGGTTGGCACGCACACTGCAGTTCAGGGTGGCGTTGTACCCAGCAATGGCGAAGGTGTTGATAAGCGGTTGAGTGAAAGTGGGCGGCTCAGTGAAGTCGCGGTCATTATACTGTGGGTTCTTCAGTTGCAGGCCTGATTGAGAGTGAGAGGAAGAGCGAGAGGAAAAGGAGGAGGAGGAGGAGTGAGAGGGGAAGGGAGAGTGGGACTTTGCATGATACAAGCCGAGAGCTGTATCATGGGGGAATATCCCTTATGTGTGATGAGGAAGAGACAACATTCATCATCAGCATTGGCAAGATGTGACGCACACAGTCTGTTAAAGATTAAATCTGCACTTGGGAACATACATGGTTACTGTCATCACAGTAATTTGTGGCTAGTAAACAAATCTTTTATGTTTGTAGCATATAGTGCATATCAGGGAGAATCATCAAATTGTGAGGCTACTTTAAAGTGCAGAACATACCTTTAACATTCCAGGATAGTTCCTTTGAGTCAAAACTCAGACTTTACACCGAGTGTGCAATCCTGCTCAAAAACCAAACCTTGATTAACAGGTTCAGGTAGTTCATGTGCCAAACTCTGCAGGCAAGTGTCCCAATTTGCATATTTTCCGTTATAACACAACCTAAGTTTATGATTAGTGCATCCTAAACAGTGTTATTTGAGAATGATTTATATACTTTTAGAGTTTATTGATATTTAGAATTAGCTTGTATCCTTATTTTCATGTATTTTTAGTAATTTTAATGGCATTTTAGTCATTTTTATTTAATCATTTCTATTCATTTTCAGTTAGTTTTTTTTTCATCATTAGTTTTAGTTTTTCTTTCTTTCAGTTTTTATAATAATTTCAGTTATTTGTAGTGTTTGGTACTTTTTAAAGTAAGTTGCAACTTTTTAGAGATTTTTGTTACATATACTTACTATAGTAATAACAGTAAATTCTGCATAATTACATGCAACTAACCCTAAAACATACCCTAAACCTAAACCTATAGTAAGTACATGTTGTTAAAGGGGCTATGTGGAGGTTTTTAATTTAAGATAGATACTTTAAGATACTTTAAAGAAAAAAAATCTTTAAGAAAAAAGAGTCTTCATTTGTACATTTATGAGCCAACCATAATGTAATAGAAAGAATGACTTCTTGACTGTCCACCACGGTTGCCTCTATCAGCCTGTAGGCTCAATTTTGTGTGGAGGAGTCCGGTCCGAATTGGCGTGAAAATTCACAAAATGTGACGTCATGCGCGTTCTCGTCTACTTGGGCTTACATCCGTACGGCAGCCATTAGGAAGCAGCGGCAATCGCTATCAGTAGTGTTTCAAATGGACTCTACGGACGAAAAAAGCGACCAGCCTTCAGCACAATCCAGATACCCACGGAAACTCCTCATAAGTTAAAAAAAAATGTAGTGCGGCCAACGAGCGTGCGCACCGTGAATGAGCATGAGACTGGCTGCAGTTTCTCTAACGGCCACTGGTGTCAGTAACGATAAGAAATTTCAGAACTTCCACAATGCTCCTTTAATTATTATCACTTAGTATTTAAATGTATAAGTACATTGTTACAATGATAGGAAGGAAGTGTAACCAAATTATTTTACCAATAACAACAATGGTCCCAAATTTTAGTATGCTTAAAACATTATAGAAGAAGGTTCTGGATGGTCTAATATTTCTGTTGGATTCTGAAGTGTTAATTTTTTGCTTGACATTTACTAAACTTTTTTAATTTTTTAATTTTTTTTTATTTTTTTTAAGTCGGGGTTAAGGCTGTGAATTTATCTAATTCTAATGCTTTCATAGTATGCAGTAAGAGGGCCTGTGATACTGGCACACTGTAAATACTCAAATGATGTACTTTACATTCCCAGCAACATATATACTTTTAATATTATACGTATCCAAACTGGGACACATCCTTCATCTCCAAGAGCAGGATTGAGCAACCCTCCTTTACACCATGTTCAGGGGCGTGCATTTCAATTAAAACCTGACTAAAGACAGACCAAGCAGGACGTTGATTAGTAAATTAGTGTTAATTAGGACATCAGCCCTCGGGTACCAAGACTGTAATCTATCCTCTGCAATTTCTTAGATTATTAATAAAAAACACACAAAAACATCCACATTAGCAAGGCCTAAATTACCACTAAAAAGCAAATTTGTTTAATTAAAACTGCTGCAAGCTATTTCATCACCACTAGCACACAGTTTTATCCAAATCGACATAAACTGCAATCAAGGTTTACTTTACTATTTTTAAACACTTCCCCTAGTAGTCCCACCCCAAATGAATGCCATTATTTGAGGTTGGCTGAAAGTGAGTTTTTAGATTGGCTAAAATGCAAAGATTCTGTTTTGCTCTTTACAGGTCCATCATAGATGCTATATTTTTCCCCCTTTCAAAGTATTGATTTTATTTTTGAGGTTTACTAGAATGTTTTCATGCTTGAATGTTGAAAACACATTACCGTATTTTTCACATATTTTACATTGCGTTGCATAACGTTACTCAACGTTACTCATTACATAACGTCACTCAACCAGGCCTCGTCCCCTTTTTTTGTAGATGCTTTTGACCTTTTTTCATGCTCAAAAATTTAAAGAACATTGAAAATGTAAAAAAAGTATACAGTAATGAGATTCTTTAATTCTTAGGGCATCCAAACATTTTATAAATTGCATATAATTAAAAAAAATCACTTGCTGCAGCTTTAAAAAAGGATTTAGACAAGCAGTTAATTTACAAATGTGTAGGAGTAGAGCAGAGCAGAGCCTTACCTTCCTTCACGATGAGAGCACTGTCTTTAGTGGCAGTAGCATTTTCACTTAAGCCCACCATGTTCTCAGAGTAGATTCTGAAGAAATACTCGTTACCCACCACCAGATCTGAAATTGTGATGCAGGTACGATGGTAATGCTCCATGCATGTGTACCACTCCTGTGCCACAAACACACACATGCTGGTCAGTCTTTCTGCCTTAAAATATTGCACACATATTTTTTTTTTAAACAAAAACGTGTATGTGTGTAACCAATATAATAAAGAAAAAACCTTTTACTTTATATTATGCAAGTTTGAAATGTGTGTTAAATATTAGTATCATAGAGGTTTTGTTCCTACCATTGTCTTTTTATCAGCTTTCTGAATTGTGTAGCCTGTTATGGGTGCATTGCCGCTGTCCTTGGGGGGGCTCCAATCCAGTGCTACATTATTCCCCCAGACCTCTTCGATCTTCACAGCCTGTGGTGGGCCTGGGAGATCTGGGACAGACAGCAAAAGAAAATGTTCAATGGTGCTGTGATGAAGAACTTGGTGGGCTCAGGTTAGCTCTACATCATACAGTGGATATAAAGTCTATACCCATGTTAAACTACCTGGTTGTAATGTAAAAAAGTAAACAAGGATCAATCATATCAGAACTTTTGCATCTTTAATGTAAAAATTACAACCCATACAATTCAGAGAAAAAGGAGATAAAAATAAAAGCTAACTGCATGTGAGTGTCCACACTCTTTTATAAACTGTTATCAGATTCAGAATTAACTAATCATCAAGCTCATGTGAAATATACAAAGTATACTAGACTTTTTATATCCACTGTATATTTCTCTGAATCACTTATATATCTTGAAATTGTACAGTATTATAATTAATCAGATTAATCATTAATCTGACTAATCTAATTAATTTTAACATGATCAATATTCAGCATTGTTATTGTTAACTGCAACTATTAAATATCATTTCATAATTGAAATAAAGCTGAAACAAAATAGAAATTTAAAAAAATGGAAACGTTACTTTGACCTACATAAATACTAAAATTACTTAAACTGAAATAAAAATACATTTTAGATAAATATAAATATTTAGAAAATAATAAAAATTACAAAATTAATAAAACATAAACTGAAATTAAAATATAAAAATGAAACCTAATTCAAAATATTAATAAATACTAGTAAGTAAATTATATAAAAATAACTGCATTTTTCTTAACTAACCGACTATCTGGATGTCCAACATGGCCGTGTCGATATGATTCTCCACTTGTACGCTCAGTTCATATTTCCCAGAATGTTTTCGCTCAGCTTTGCGGATGAACATGATGCTGTCACAATCTGAGTTACGAATGCTGATGGTTTGTTCAATCGGCTGACCCTCTTTCAACCAGATGACTTTTGGCCTTGGTTTACCCTAAAATATGAAAAAAAAAAGGTTTCGACATTTTCTGTCATGAGCAGGAAGAATTCGATAAGCTTGGGGTTTGTTGTCATGATCTGTTGGCTCACCACAAATGGCACGACGAGGTTGACGACTTCGCCAACCTTTCGAATGTACGTCTGCTTCAAGTGTCGAGGTATGCGAATCTTAGGAGGCTCTGTGAGATACGTGTTATTAGTTTACATTAAGGTGTTTCAAATAGCAAAATGAAAGTGGTAGTTAACTTGACCCTCACCGATGACCTCTTTCACCAGTATGGAGTGTTGGGTGGTGCGTGGTGCACTGGCCCCAGCAGCATTTATAGCCTTGACACGTACTAAGATCTTAGCCTCCACTGGCAGACCAGTTATAGTGTACTTCGTTTTTTCTGTCAGCTCTTTATTAGCAAGAATCCATTCGTCAGCTGTAAAATAAAGTATTGCATGAGGGCAAAATGGCATGAAAAGCCACCAAAAACCACTTCCTCAAATCATATATGTGTGTAGTCTTACTTCCTTCAATGCAATATTCAATTTGATACCCATCAAGTCCTGCAGCACCGATCGTGTCTGGAGGTCTCCACTTCATAGTTACTGTGTCATCTGTGACGTCATCCACCACCAGCATTGTGGGTTCACTGGTCACAGCTAGTAGGAGTTCATGAAGGTAGTAATTATTGTTGTCAATATTTTGGATAATTTGGTATCCAAACAAAATATTTTTTCAGTTGCTTTCTTAGATGCATAATGAAGTATTAAGTCTCACTCAAAAAAAAAAAAAAAATCACAAAAATATACATCCTAGATACATGATTTATATTATGTATAGTTTTTTTCTTACATTTTTAGTCATCTGTTTATTTTAGATTAGTATAGGATATAAATTCTCAAATTCATCCTTAGATGAATACAAAAAAGTCCCAAAATTATTTTTTCAATTAATTTTCGATTACCATATAAATATTATATACTGTATACAAATACATATTTATTCTAAAACCATAAAAAATATGTATTTCAAATGCATAATTGCTTGCATATTTTCTGCCTTTTTCCATTTATTTTGTTTATTAAAACTTGATTCTTCCCCCATTCAAGAGTGTTTGATACATTCTCAAAACATAGATAACATCTATCCTTAACGGGGCTATATGTAAGAATTGTCATATTAATTGCATTTTGTATTGCCAATGTTTGGCAAATTCCAAGGTCATGTCAATGTGCAATGCAAAGAAAAGAAAATAATTCAATCTATACTCTCATTTAGTAAGTTGATTGATAAATATCAATCTGGTTTCAGAAAGATGCACTCCACTGAGACTGCTCTCCTCAAAGTGTCTAATGAAGTACACATGGCTGCTGATTCTGGAAGGTACTCGGTATTGGATTTATCATCAGCGTTTGATAGAGTGGACCACAGAATGCTGTGGTTTTCCTCTTACTTGAGTGACAGAACATTTTCTGTATATGTAAATAATATACTATCTGAAGCCACTCCAGTCTTTAATGGAGTTCCACAGGGCTCTCTCCTAGGGCCACTTTTGTTTTTACTGTACATTACCCCTTTGGGAAAAATTTTGAGCCATTTTAACAATGTGTCATACCATTTTTATGCTGATGACATACAGTTGTATTGCTCGTTCAACGACTCAGAGTTCCACAAACTAACAGATTTATTGGAATGTTTTTCTTCAGTTAAATTGTGGCTTGCTAGTTACTGTCTTCAATTAAATTTGGAAAAGACTGAAACCTGAGCTTTACATGGTCAGGCCCCTCAATACATTGCTGATTTGTTATGCACATACTCCCCAGGCCGTGCACTTCGATCCTCAGGCCAGAGTCTGTTAATGGTCCAAAGACTCGCTATAAAACCCGGGGAGACCTGTCCTTTCAGGTTGTAGCCCCAAGACTGTGGAACGCCTTGCCTTTGTTCCTCCGTGTGGCCGACTCGGTCGATTATTTTACAAGGCATCTTAATTTAGACAAGCATTTAGTTAACTGGGTTTTATTTTGGGCTCTTTAAATGTTGTAATTTTTACTGAGTGTATACTGTTTTATTTTGTGGTTGCACTTTGTAAAGCACTTTGTGATTTTTATCTGTGAAAAGTGCTCTATAAATAAACTTTAATTACTTACTTGCATTTAGTCAGATTTATATAGTCTACTAATAGTCTCAAACATAATATATATATATATATATATATATATATATATGTTTGTGTGTGTGTGTATATTCCATTCATATAATAATTAATGTTACTGATTATATTTTGCAGTTTTTTTGTTAAATTTGTTCTCATCAGTACATGCATCATTTCTATTTTTTACTTAGTTTTTATTTCCATTAAAACTGAGCTTGATTCACACATTCAAGAGTGTATAATATGAATATATTACACTTTAGCCTCTGTGACCATAAACTAATTGAAATCAAGCTTTAGGCTATGTTTACACGGAAACGATTCTGAAGAGAAAACTCAAAAGTGGCGCTGCTTCATCACTTTTTATTCTGCGTTTAGACGATCGTTTTGTGTGGGAAATCCGCGTGCAAATGGTGACGCAAAAGTGTGTGAAATTCAATGTAGTATGCACTTCAGGCGGCTAGGAGTGCATACTACAACAACACCAAGTCCACGCGCCTGCGTACAACCTTCACTGTCAAGCAAACTTTTGCGTTTTTACCGTTTACACGGGAACACGGCGGTGGAGCGTTTTTAAGATTTCTACTCTGGAGGGTGGTTTCACTTTTTTGCGTTTTTAAGCCTCAAAAACGCCGTCGCCGCGTAAACGAAAGGCACATCCGATAAAATATTTGTATGTTTTCACCCGCGAGTGTTCTCGTGTAAACAGGGCCTTAGATAATTCCAGTTGGAGTAATCATTTACCTAGATTATAATTGTTTTCTTGTTTTTCATATCAGCATTTTTTACCCTGTTGTTGTTCCAATTTCTTTTTCATGGAACGTAAAACATATTTTTTGAAGAACTTTTTAATGGCCACACGCGTGTACCTCCACACACGAACACATGTGAGAAGAGAGGATCACCCTGGTATGTCATGAATTTCATGAGGGGTCTCATTTGTCTGGACTCTTCTATTTTTGCTCAACTCTTCGCGTTTAAGCTGTGACTGAAGTAGAGACAGTATCTGATCTCATAACATAATAATCCGCAGATGAGTTGGCAGCCATTATAAAGTCGTACTCAGTATCTTCTAAATCTCAGGCTTCTGCTGTGGAGGTCACAGACTGAATGTTTTGGATACTGGTGTGAACACAGCAACACCTGTCGCATAGGAGCCCAAATAGGAACAGACAAGCGCTGGCGTCTCTGCAGTGCTTTTTGTCTTGCTTAATGGCAAATGCCTAAATGACCATACTGCGTGTTGTGTTGCGTAATAGAGATGGTGCTCTCGATATAACTGATTCAAAGAGACACAAAATCCCATTGACAGTACAGCTGAGCCACTTGTGTACTCACCCAGAGGAATGAAAGATTTGGAGGGTTCACTGGGTTTGGAGACACCGATAGCGTTAACAGCAAAGATGCGCGCCTCGTATGGCACACCTTCAATCATTTTTTTGGGCTCGAAGGTGGTCTCTTTGCAAAGGTCAAAGTTCAGCCTCATCCATCGAGAGCTCTGTTTCTTCTTTCGCTCAATGAAGTATCCTGTGGTATATCAAAAATCATGTTTTAAAGACCTTTTATGCTCTTTTTCTACTTTTCCTACTTACTTTAGAGTGTAATGTTGCTGTTTGAGCATAAAAAACACAAAGTCCACTCCAAAGGGAATTATTTTGTATTTCAGTAATCACTGTTTCTAGACTCCCTAAAATGCCTTGATTTTAATCGTATAATAATATCCGCAATATTTAGATAATTCCCAACTAAGGTATAAGCAAATGAAAGGTGCAAGTGTGTTAAAGCGATTATGATATATGTTATAAGCGGTTGACCAATCACAATACATTACGCTTTTCGATTATGATATGATATGTTATGATAAGCGGTTGACCAATCACAATGCATTGTGCTTTTCAGAAGGAGGGGTGTGCTAAAGCACATTGTGCTTCATTGAGACAGGAACTAAACAATGTTACTGGCAGACTGTAAAAAGAGGTGCTGCAACAACGTAAAATATGTGAATTTTTTAGTTTTTAACATTCAAGCGTGAAAACCTATTCTAGTATAACCCAAAAACAAAATAAAGACATTGAAAAGGGGCATAATATGGCCTTTTTTTAACTTATGAATATGTTATGATAATAATAAGACCCTCAAATGCACAACTGCATATTTAAAGCGGTCATGTCATGATTTTTTTTTTTTTTTTCCCAGAGGTCTACTTATATACTGTAATCTACTATATAATCTATTATACTGTAACTTTCTGAACTTTACTAGCATTGTTTTATTTGTTCATCAGGGAACACTTGATTCATCATGATGACTAATTATGTAAAACAATGTTTAAAATGTTAGCATAATGGAGGAAATGATTTACATTTAATTGAAAAATGATTTTATATTCAAATAGAAAACGGTTATTTTTAATTATTTGTAATATTTCACAATAATGCTCTTTTTATGAATACAGCCTTGGTGAGTATAAGAGACATGAAAAATATAGGTAGTGTAATGAGATTACAGAGAAATTCCAATGTGTTTTTCGACATATAATTTAAAATAACTCAAAGTCTAAAATTAGCAGGCTTCTAAAATATAAATTTGATGCGGTTTTTATGCACAGGAAGTTGATTTACCAAGAATGGGGGAACCACCGTCATAGCGTGGAGGTTCCCATGTCATAGTGCACCAGTCTCCACCCACATCAGTAACTAGAGGAGCCTCAGGGGGATCCGGGATATCTAGATGAAACAACATTTTTGAGATTTACGTCTTATTAATGACATCACCCAAACAAATATTATGTTCTCTCAGGGAAGAGTGTCTTACCCACAACTTTGACCTTAACACTGGCGGTGTCTTCTCCAGCTTCGTTCTGAAGGACGATCTTGTAGTTTCCAGTATCTTCTCTTTCTGTGACATCAATAGTTAGGCAGGTCTGGTCTGCATGTGTCTCTGCACGAACTCGACTTCCTGTATCAAGGATGACCTGAAAAACCCATTAGCTTAGTTAAATCCAGGTGTTTCTGATTCTGAAATATACATTTCTTTATATTTTCTGGTCATCACTCACCCTTTCTCCCTTCATCCACACCACTCTGGGTGCTGGTTCTCCACTGATGGGAATCTCCAGGCGTAGTTTGTTTCCGGCCACAATGGTCACCGTGTTGTCCTGGACATTCAGTGCCTCTAAGTGCACCTTGGGGGGATCTGCAGAATTAATCCAAATGGGATTCTTTCAGAGAGCTTATTAGCAAAACTACGATAAAAATCAGAGAAATTCTGGATTGTTACTGGTACCTATGACGTGCACTTTGGCAGACAGCGTCTGTGTGTATCCCTCAGGAACAAAGGTATAGTCGCCGGCATCATGAATGGTGGCGCTCTCAATGTCGAGGTTGTGATTCCTGTAGATTGAATATAAAGCACAAATGAAAATGAGGATATATATAAGTCATCCTTCACTCTCCTATTGAGAAGCAGCACTGTTATAGACCTTCTCAGACCTGCAACAACGTTTAGCACCTGGCCATACCCAGTTAAGGTGGTCAGGATGGATTTTGGACCATGGTGGCTGGTTGGCCAGCTACCATGTTCCACAGCTATTAGCTTAAAGGGATAGTCCACTTTTTTTTTTGGAAATACACTCATTTTAGAAAATCTCAGCCTAGAAAATCGCAACTTTACATTTTCCGACTGTCTTAGTTAGTGCACGATGTAACTACAGAAGAGTCAAGTTTTCAATAGGTAAAAATATTGAAACACTTTGGTAATTTTTTTGGGAGAAATGCTAACGGTCTTGTGCACTTCAATGATGTATGCTAAGCTATGCTAAAAGTGGTACCGCCAGAACCGGAGATCGGCTGAATGGATTCAAAAAAAGGTAAAACACGACAGTTTAACTCTGGGGGAGTTGTAAAGTGAGCCTATTTCCAAAAAAAAAAAAAAAAAAGTGGAGTATCCCTTTAAGCTTGATTTTCCCATAGGGGCCTCCAGTTGATACAGTTCTAGTTTTAGAAACAGTGGCAACATTTTATTCACATATTTCTAAAATATTTACATGCACTATATGAGCTGATTACTTTGTGATTAAGGTTTAATTTTGAATGTGTAAGATGGCATACTTGGTTTTGTGCAAAATGTTGATGTGGTCATTAGGCTGGATCAGCTGCCCGTTCTTGTACCAGCGGCCCGGGACATTTCCGGGGTAAATCTCACAGTTCAATTTAAGAGGCTGACCCAACATCACAGTCACACTCTGCAGATCCATTAAAATCTTCAGAGGCTTCACTGAATCATCCAATCGCATGTGACAGGAAGGAAGAACATTTAATGAGCAGGGATGAAACAAAGATGCTTTCAATAATTGTAAAAAAAAACAACAATATTATCATACGGTCAACTTGAACGTGAGCCTGACTGGTGCCCCCGGTGGCCATTAGGGAGTAGGTGCCAGTGTCGTCCTTTGAGGCGTCATCAATGATCAGCCAGTGTTTGGTCCCCTCGCTTTTCACACGGTACCGTGATCGCACTCCTGTGGGAACCTCCACTCCATTCTTCATCCTTTACCAGACCATCAGCATAATAGGTCGTGTTTTACTCGTTTTACTTGCGTGTCAAACACATAAACATCTAAACTGTCCATCACACATACCATTTAACTTTTGCTCCTTCCTCAGACACCTCACACTCCAGTTCAATTCTCTCGTTCACTGTGGTTTTTACGGGCTCCAGCTCTTTCACTATGTTCACAGGCAGTTCTAGGAGGACCAAATGAGACCAGGATTACATAATCAAACACTGGCAGACAGTGTTGGGGAAAGATGAAAGATGTTAAACCAGTCATTATTGATCAATCCCATCACAATTAACTTCAAGTATGAAATGGTCTGGTAGGCTCGTGAGTGGAGGTACCTTTCACAAACAGTTCAGTGGTGCACTTCTCATCTCCGGCAGTGACTGAGTAAGCAGCGTCATCGCTCATCTGACAGTTGTTAATAACCATTATCCTTTGAGTGCCTTTATGCTCAAAGATATACCTGCACAGTCAATTCATTAGTTACGGAAAGATAACATTTCAAAGTTGAGAGTTGAACATAATTTATGGTACGATCAGTTAAATATTGACAGCAGGATTGTCAAGAAAAATATTTAGGTGTTGCGTCAAAAGCTAAAAGCTTTCAGCAATGTTTGTTTATTTATCCCATCTTTATTTATTTATTTTGGTCATTTTTTTTACTTATTCATTCTGTCTTTTAGTCATTCTTATTCAGTCAGTCTTTTGCTATCTCTTTTATTGAATTCCACTATTGAAAGTCTAAGATAGGAAAAAGAAAGCAGAAATTATTGATATTATACAACAGGTAGTTCAGTTCCTTTAATTTGGTTGATCTAATTATAGATTCACTGCTTTGGCATCTTTTATAAGGGTTTTCGTTTGGCAGAGAAAAAAATGACTAAATAACTGTCCATGTGGTGTGTTAATTGTGTGTGTGCTGATATTCAGTACGGCAGCACTCTTGCTTTTGTGAAAGCTCAATCATTTGTAGATTTGTTATTCTCATTCCATTGCAATATTTTATACTGTATATACAACATGGAACCTTAAATCATCGGAAGTGATCCATACAGCAGAAATGGGGTCACTCCTTTGGTTCAGATATACAAGACAGTACCGAGGACTGGCTGACTTACTTCCTATTACTTTGTGGTGAATAGAGGAGCCAGAGCAGCCGGAGCACAGGGTGGAGTTGGTGGGAGTGGAGGTTATAGCAGACAGGTGGGATCACCATTGCATAACAGACAGAAAGGATAGATAGACATCATGCCTAGATCAAACAGGACTGGAAGAGCTGTTAGTATTACAGTTGTATAGAGAGAGAAGAAGAAAAAGAGAGATTCCCCCAAAAAGCAGGGAATCCCTGGGATGACCATCATTGAAGATAAGCAAACAGAAAACGGCATGGACCACCCAAATGGCTTTAGTGGGTTGATATACGCTGCCATAATTTTCAAATAACTTGTTGCCAAAAAAAAAAAAAAAAACGGTATATAGCATCATTTTATAGTTTTATATCATTAAGTAATACCATTATATAAACTACACACTTGCGTTCATGTACTTCTTGCAGACGTTTTAAGCTGTTAAGCATTTTACAAAGAATATTTTTCTTGTGGAATATATGCTTACAAGCCAAATAGCTTAATTGGTGCACTAAAAAATATAAATAAAATATTTATAATACAAATAAATAAGTATATATATATATATATATATACTATTTGTACAATATTACCATAAAACATTTTTGCATATCATAAGAGATAAATATGCATTTAATGTAAAATTTTCAGGTAGCTTTTGCAACTCTATTAAAGTCCTGTGAGGGTGGTGGTGCCTTTTTCCTGTTGTTAATTTCTCATTGTACACTACATTTAAAACTTCAAATGTAGCTCAAGAGCTTCACATTGGCCTTCACTCACATAACGTCCTTTAAACATTTCTGGAAGTTATCATAAGGCACAGATTAATGTTTTAAGAACGTTGTGTGTTTGCCGGGTATGAAATGCTGATGGATCACTTGTGTGTGTGTGTAGCATGTGCAGAAGGTGTGTGTTTCTGCATCCCCTGTGACCAGCAAGCCAAAGAACACAATAAATAAAGGGTTTTAAACAGGTTGGCATTTACAGAGGGTTTCATATGAGCTTGTTCCTGAATGAAGAGCGTGTAAGAATAGGAGGCGACATACTTTGGAGTAGGGCGGATCTCTTGTCCGTTCTTGTACCATTTTAACTCCACAGTTGGGTCAGCTAGATCCACAATTAACCGGATTTTTCCGCCTTTGTCCGCCTGATATGCAGGATCCAGTCTCTTGGCAAATGCTGCAGTGGAAAATGAATGCAGATGAATAACTGTTTTTCAAGTGAAGAAATTGGCTCTGTGGCATTTTCAAAAGAAACAATTTAAACAGTTAGTTCACTCAAAAATTAAAATTCGGTCACTATTTACTTACCCTCGTGTCGTTCCGAACTCGTCAGACTTTCGTTCATCTTCGGAACACAAATGAAGATATTTTAAATGAAATCTGTCCCTTCATTGACAGTCTACAAAACTAGGAAGCATTCGCTTATATTTGAATAAAAGTCTAAATTCAATCTGTTCATCACATAAAGTGACCTCTCGATTCAAATGGCTTAGTTTTACAACCTCTTTAAGAACTTTTTGAAGCGTTAAAGTGATATTGCGTTGCTGTCAGGGACAGATCTCTCATATTTAATTAAAAATATCTTCATTTGTGCTCTGGAGATAAATGAAAGTCTTATGAGGTTGGAATGACATAAGAGTTAGTAAATGATGACAGATGTTTTATTTTTGGGTGAACCATCGCTTTAACAATATATCTGAACTGCATACTGCACATTATCAATCTAACAAAGGTTAATTTAGCACCTTCACTCTTTTTCTCTTCCTTTTTGGTTTTCTTCAGTCTTTTCAGCAGGCCTCTGAGATCGGTGATGCCATACGTAAAAGCAATCTTCTCATATTCATCAGGTCGGGCCTTTTTCAGAATCTCCCACACGTCCACATCAGGAGTTTCCTCTTGTTTATGCTCCCTGACATCACAGAGCAGTAAGACAGTATGAGGTCAGAGGTCATGGCTAGGGCTCTCTCTCAACATGTGTTGAGGAACCAGATTGGGATGTTCCACTACTATCCTCCTTATCTCTAGTTCCTCAAGACATGTCTCACAAAGAGATGGGCTGGAAAATCCCTGCTATGTCATTGGTAACCTGTTACAGGGAGAGATGCCTCACTAGTTTTTAGCTACACGGTGGATCACATGATCAAGGAAGGGATGGTACTGTTTATGATTGGAGACACGAATTTAGTGAGAAGCTATTACTATTCAATTCCACTAAGATTGGAAAGGATAAGTGGAAAAGTCAGTGAAAAGGGGAGAACATTGGGTTATCATGTGGTTAACACATGATCGAGCTCATGATGGATGTCCAAACCAAATAATTTACTAAAAATGTAACATTTGATTCAATGCATTATAATGAAAATTATATTAGGAACATTTATAATTGGAGCTGTCAATGTAAAATTAATTAAGCGCAGGCCTCAGAATACGTTATTAAAAGTTTATCCTTTTCAACTTGATATGGCATATAGACCAACAACAAAAAAATTTAGTTTTTTTAATTGTTGGTCTATTTGATTTATAAGTAAATAGACCAATGTTTAAAATATGCAGAAAGAACGTTATTATTGAGATTATGATGACAGAAAGGTAGATAGATAGATAGATAGATAGATAGATAGATAGATAGATAGATAGATAGATAGATAGATAGATAGATAGATAGATAGATAGATAGATAGATAGATAGATAGATAGATAGATAGATGAATCGACAGCCCTAATTATAATTCATTAATAGTAATCTGTTGACTCTGTCCTGTAGTTTAAACTGTACCCATCTCTTTGTAGAAGTCCTATCTGAACGCATTTGTCAATGTAGTTGTTTTCTTTTATATTAGGGTTAGAAGTCAGGGTTTATTAGGAGTGAATATTGTTGTTATACATGATCACAGTCCTTAAACATGATCAGGGTGTGAGACAGTTAAATTAGTAATCATCAGCTTTTGTCATTCAGCCCTCTTCTTACACAGACATTTCCCTGAATGTCCGGTGGTAACATTATTATTTTCTTGTGTTTAATGTGTGTTTAAAGTCTGCAGTTGCTCAGGCAAGTATTAAGAACAGCGAAGGTTTGCAGTTGCAGTTGCGTGTCTCGTTTCTCGAGTAACCAAGATTACATTAACAAAAGTAGCGATAACACTATTTCACAGCTTCATGTAGAAGTTTTCCACCAACAACTCGCAAATGAGTGGAAAACGTGCCCTTTTCGTCAGGATCTGAATGCTAAAGGTTCGTTTCCATCATTGCTGAGTGTTGCTGAATCTTTAATGAATGCTGTCTTTAAATAAAGTGTTACCAGACTACAGTAGGCCAACACTCTTGCTTATACAGTTCCTGTTCAGGTCATGCTTGGGAAGCTAAAGGATTATAATACTTACCAGTGATAACGTCTAATCGTTTAATTACCTAAGATACTAACCTGCCTTGTCTGAATGCGTGAGGGAGAAAAAAAGACAAGCCAAGATAATTTTCAAACTTTTTTCCTCTAACTTCTGCTATTTAGCTAACTACAAAATACTAAAGCAAAACCTCAAAAAAAGAGGTAAAACTCCAAAAATAAGTTTGTGTGATTGATGATATTTTGTGTCCTTTATGTTGGCTACAAAATACACTTCCACTTAATTATATGCCAATATCTGTATTAATAATAACAATAAATGGCACATAAATATTGTTTTCCACATTACAGGATGGTTAAGGGCAGAGTGGTTTCTTTGTCGCAGTGAATGAACATAAAAATCTATTGTTGGCTTTTTAACAACTGTGTAAAAGAAGGATTGAAGAAAAAGACACCACTGTCAGGGCATCAGGAAAAAAAGGTCCAAAAAAAAAGAAAGAAAGAAAGAATTGGACCCCATTGGGGGCCAGACTGGAGTTCTCACCTATGTTTGAGAAGCCCACTAAAGTCAAGTTCGCCTGCATCGTCCTGGCCTTCACTGCTGTTGTTCACAAGAGATTAATGGAAATTGAGTCAGAAAAGTCACAAACATCAGAATCAAACAATGCTAAAAGAACAACGCAAGAGCCTGCAATCTCTGCATCCAAATGAATGCAGGATTGAGGTGCACACAATAACCTTTCGCTTGGCGGCCGAGTACCAAAGCACTGGCGTTGGGCGAATTGATTTGTGCACAAACTACCAAGGGTGTTCTCATGACAGATTCTCCCAATGTTACTTTGGGAGAACAGTATGAGCTTGGATAGTTTGCGTTGCTTTCTGATACATTGTTGGGGTGGAAGTTCCCAGTGCAAGCGTTGGCCTTTGAACAAGTTCAACACATTGGTTTGGTTGGTTTTGTCGACGGGTTGATTTGGTGGTAAATAAATTGGAGAAAAAAAAATGGTTAACTGAGAACTTTCTGGTAACCCAGCCCGTCATCAAACCATGTTTATACATCGGTTTGTTGAGGATTACTGGAACAGAAGTCCTTTTTTAATTGATTAAACATTCACAGAGAAGATGTCACTGTAATGCTTCATTTATGTTGGAAAAGAATATTTTATGTTTTTGAAAGTCGAGGAGGATTTATTTTTGAATTTCGAATGATACCCTATTGTATCATATAATCTATATATATATATATATATATATATATATATATAAGGGCTGTCAAATGATTAATCGCATCCAAAATAAAAGTTTGTGTTTACATGATATATTCAGGTGCACTATGTATAATTATTATATATATATATATATATATACAGTATATATATAGAGTATATATATATATATATATATATATACATACATATAAAATACATACACATGCATGTATATTTAAGAAAAAAAAATTATATATAAATATTTATATATAATATAAATTATCTATAAATCTATATACAGTATACATGAAAATATTTCTTAAATATATACAAGGATGAGTGTGTATATATATATATATATATATATATATATATATATATATATATATATATATATGTATGTATATAAAATAATTAGACACAGTGCACCCACATTATTATGTAAACACAAACTTTTATTTTGGATGCGATTAATCGTGATTAATCGTTTGACAGCCCTATGGTAAATAATTGATAAATATATTATTTTATTTGATATATCACTGATATATTTTACCTTCATATATTCCAAGATATATACCAAGAATTTAGAAATGTTATAGCTACTTAAAGTAATATTATCATTATTTTATATTTTATAATGATTAATTACAGTACTTACTAAACCGCTCTATTTAAAAAACATTTCAGCCATTTTGCTGAACATTTCTATATATTTCTCTTCAAAAATTATTTTGGGGGAGGATGGTCCCCCTTTACCTTCTTTTGAAAGCTGAGCGAATGTCAATGCTCTGAGAACCCTCGGGGATTTCTGAGAAGAAGAAAAAAGAAAAAATGGATGAAATACGATACGAAAGGGAAAAAATATTACTAAATATTACTAAAATAATACTAAAAGTTTGAGGTCTGTAATATTTTTTAATGTTTTTGAAAGATGCCTCTAATGGTCATAAGGCTGCTTTTATTTGATTAGCAAAAATAGTGTTGGGTAAAAACAGTAATATTGTGAAATATTATAACAATTTAAAATAAATGTTTTAATTCTAATGAATTCCTGTGATGGCAAAGCTGAATTTTCAGCATCATTAGTAGAGTCTTTAGTGTCACATAATCCTTCAGAAATAATTCTAATATGCGGATTTGCTGCTCATTTTTATCTTATGTTTATCAATGTTGAAAATAGTTGTCGCTGACAAATTTGTGTGTGTGAAATCATTGATTCAGGATTCTTGTAAAATAAACATAATTTATTTAAAATATAAATCTTTTTTAACATTACAAGTATCTCTTTTTGACCATGTTGACGTGCCCTTGCTGAATAAAAGTTTTTCTTCAGAAAAACTTAAAAAATCGTAATGACCCAAACTTGGCAGTGCATGTGTCTTAGTAAGTGTTCGTTGTGTTCAATCAGAAAACAAACCTTTGACCTCCAGGTCAAAAGAGCAGCTATCAAATTTGTCTTTGTAGGTGACCTCACATCTGTAATTCCCTGCATAGTTCTCCTTCGCCTTAATGATGTGCATCTCAAAGGTGTGGATCTACAGGGAAAAACAATGCCAAATATTACTTAGAGAATAGGAAAGTTATGCAAATGCTTCTTTACAATACGTTGGTTGAACGGGATCACCTTGGAAAAGCGATCAAAAGATTCTTTAAGCTGAAGGTGCTTCCCAGTCTTGCTAGCCAGATCCATCCACTTGCCCTTGAACCACTTAATGGTTGGTTTGCGAAGCAAGTCTTTGGCCTCCACTTTAGCAACGAAGCTGATGTCTCCACCTTTCAAACAACAAAATAAAACATACTGCAGTTGTGTTTGTTGAATAAACATTGCGAGATCCTAAAGATGTGCATCAGAGCTTAAAGTGCCTCTATTGTGCTACTCTAAAAGTTCCTAATTTGGTTTTGGAGGTCTCCTACAATAACATTTAACATTTAGCTGACACTTTTATCCAAAGCAGCTTACAATTGCTATATATGTCAGAGGTCGCACGCCTCTGGAGCAACTAGGGGTTAAGTGTCTTGCTCAGGGACACATTGGTGTCTCACAGTGGATTCAAACCCGGGTCGCTCACACCAAAGGCATGTGTCTTATCACCACTGTGCCATCACCACCCCCAATACCATTACATTGGATGCAGGTTTACATGCATCCAAGTTCAAGAAAAAGTTTCATAATATAGGCTACATTTCACCTCATTTCTAAAAGAGTCTCTCTAAACACCTTCTTTCCAAGAACCTGCTTTGCTTTGGAAGTATATGCAATGTGGATTTGCTTTTGCAGCCAAGAAAACAGCATATTCTCGACATGTTGAAAACACAAAACGGTCCCACTTTATATTAAGTGGCTTTTAAGTACCATGTACTTATATTGAAATTAATAATTTGATACAGTGGACTTATTGTGTACATACAGGTTTTTACATTGTACTTATATTTAAAAAATACCCGCATGTAATTGCATCTGTAATTAATTACACTGCTGACCCATCCCTTACACTTAAACCCACCCTTAAACCTACCCATACCACCACACCTGTCCCTAACCTTACCCGTATTACACCTCAATAGCAGCAAAAGTGATTTATAATACAACATTAGCACAATAAGTACATTGAACTTATTTTTAAATGTACTGTAAGTACATAGAACTTAAAGCCACTTAATATAAAGTGGGACCCACAAAACAAACTCTTCCAGGCCTCGGCTAGTGTTTAAAGGTGGATCAAAGTAGATGTTGTTTACAGACAGCCAATGAAAGCCATAGGCAGGCATTATGCAAATTTGTTGCAAACCTTGTGCTGGAGGCAAGACTGGAATGAATTACTGACGACAGATTCGATTCTTCCTCTTGGGAGAAAATATTTTTTCGCACACTTTGATCTTTGAAACTTTGCAGACCTGCACAAGCATCATTGCGACACACTACATGAAAGGTTATTTCTGAAAAAACAAGCATAGGCAACGCATTCTCATCCCAAGGCGTCATCTAACTGACAATTTTGACCATGCTTCAATATCTGACGCTTTAGGCACCCTTTAGTGTCAGTTACATGACGCGATCCTAGGGCGTCATATGACGCTAAAGGTAAAGCGTCAGTTAGATGACGCGGGTACGTTTAGGTCTGGGGTAGGGTAAAGGTAGAGATCCACTTGTCCGACACGACAGTCGAGTGGTGTCGCAACGCCTCCCCACATTTGTACTTTGATGGGCGTTCCTCAAGTTTACCGCTATGGGCGAAGTTTTGAGCCAGCGGCCAGTCTAGAACAGAGGACCTGCGAGAGACTTCCCCCCAACTCCACATGCTCTACTTCTATTGGATAGTCGCGGCGCGTTCAACGGACTTCATTTGCATAAAGATGGGCATCGGCCAGCTTTTTGATGTGCAGCATTTTTCTAAATGAAGCGCCGCCTTCCCAGAATGCATTGCAGGCGCGTTAAAGTCGCGTGACGTCACTAATAGGAATAAAGTGGAGTGTGGCACGACTGAAGGATCGCACGGACAAGTGGATCTCTACCCTAAGGGTAACGGTAGAGATCCACTTGTCCAACACGACAGCCGCGTGGTGTCGCAAAGCCTCCCCACATTTGTACTTTGATGGGCGTTCCTCAAGTTTACCGCTATGGGCGAAGTTTTGAGCCAGCGGCCAGTCTAGAACAGAGGACCTGCGAGAGACTTCCCCCCGTCTCCACATGCTCTACTTCTATTGGATAGTCGCGGCGCGTTCAACGGAATTAATTTGCATAAAGATGGGCATCGGCCAGCTTTTTGACACGCAGCATTTTTCTAAATGAAGTTTTGCCTTCCCAGAATGCTTTGCGGGCGTGTTAAAGTCGTGTGACGTCACCCATAGGAATAAAGTGGAGTGCAGCACGACTGAAGTATCGCACGGACAAGTGGATCCACACCGTTAGACCCGATCCTAGGGCGTCATCTAAGGGTGCCTAAAGAGTCAGATATTGAAGCATGGTCAAAATGCTTCCCAAGGCGTCAGTTAGCTGAAATAATAGTGTAATAGAGGCACTTTAAGAATGAACGGGAACCGTTACAAAGCTGCATTTACTGACCTACAGTGATGGAGCCACCCTGGGGCTTTTCAATCAACAGAGTGGAGAGGGGTGGAGTATCAATCTGTTTGTCAATGTCCTCAGGAGGCTGTCCATCCCCCAGAGACCACACTGATCATTTAGGAGAAAGATCACACTTATCCCACTTATACATTTTTGGTAGCTTTATAATAACTTTCATATTATGTGTAAATCTTTTTAGATAATTAGGTAGGGCAAATTGAAATATTAATGTCAATGCCCATCTATATTCCTATTCAAATAAATTTGAAAGTTATTATAAAGTGTTTGAAATCCATATATAACTTGCAATCGTCCAATTGCTTGTACTGACACACATACTCAACAAACACACAGTGACACATCATCATCACACATTGCTGCCACAAAGCAACATGGAAAGCATAAAGACACTGAACAGTGACCTTTAAGAGGGAAAAGAGAGAATCAGTTAACATGTGTAAATATAAATTGCGTAGCAAAATCATTTCGGAAAATATTCTGATTGCTCAATGAGATTTCACAGATTTTTTTATATAGTCAATGATCAATGAGATTAAATCTTGTGTAAATAAAAAAATGAACTGTGCCATTCATTTTCCCATGGAGTATGAAAAAGTAAATGATCTCCAAAACCCACCAGTTTCTTCCAAAATGGGGTTTGGGATTATTACAGCGCTCTTGCCAAATGTATCTGTTTATCGGTCTCATTTGGCTGTCCACTGTGCGTCTTATGATGCTTTGACTAGACCTATCTCGGCCTTTGTTTCTGGTTTAGGGATCCGTTAAAGCGTCTACTGTAGTTAGAATTACCTGAGTCTTTTCTCCCCCTGGTTGACTCAGGGTCGCTATCATCTAAACAAAGACAGAGAGAAATTTACAGCATATTATAAGAAATAATACTGTAAAGTCCATTGCGGCCAACACACTGTAACACACAATAGCACATATAAACATGAACTGAAAGCAGGAACAGATTGTTAATGTCATGCGTCATTCCGTACATGTCTTTTCAGGAATCATTGTGCTCGATTGCAATCTACATACAACTATTACAGTTGTAGCCTATCTTTAATTTTATTATAAAATGAAAAATACAAAATTTTAGTAATGCTTCATGACGTAAGAAATACGTTTTATGGTGACATAAAAGATCCAGCATCCTCAGAGGAATTTCCACTTATGTAGCCATGGTGCACTGGAAGTAAATGTAAATTCACAGGGCAATGATCTCTATCTGCTGTAAGTAACCTCATTAATCCTGAACCTGTTTGCTCAAATGAATAGATTCACATATAATCTAAAAATAAACTCCTGGATCAAGAGTGATGAGGGCATTCATTAATAAAAAGACTCTTACTAGGAAGGTCAATAGAAAGTTTCTTGGGTGTGCTGCCATTCTCTGTGAAAGAAAACAACATATTATTCATTATGAGTATCTGTTTCGCCAAGGTAAGGGTTGTTTATCGGCCTAAAATAGAGAAAAAAAAAGCTTTTTTAAATAATACTGTTTCCTTTTTAATTCGCTTTTTTTGCCTTTACTATACATTTAAAACATCATTAAAAAACATCATTGTATTATATGCAAAAACTTTATGCATGTTTGCAATGCACAAGCATAGTATTATGTCAGAAATCAGACATGATCAGATGTCAACTCTTCCTTTATAAAGATATATGATTATATTTTATATAAAGGGTCTAAATGCTTAGGAGTCAGGCAAAATCACAAACATCAAGTGCATATGTTTTTGCATACATGCGTTCCTTTTCGAAAACGTATTTAGCTTGTTTTATCAACAACATTAGTGATTTGATGAGGATGGGTCATCATGGCTACCAACCTGCTGGAGGTGGAGGTGATGGGGTGCTGGCGGTGACATCATCATCTTTATCTGAAATAAAGGTGTGATTGACACATACACCCGCCTATCACTAAACTCCATTTCCAGCCGTAGAGCAAAACACAGCATGCTTTTGCACGGTCAAACATGAACTTTAAATTCACCATGAACCCGCTTTCAAATAAAAGATGGAATGCTGGCAATGTTTACATGTGTTTTTGACAAGAATGAGATGAATGGCATGTTGCAGTTGTGTATACGTGTGCGAGGAAAGACAGAAGCAAAATATGTATACGACCACATGCTTATCTGATGGCCTGCCATGCAGGCCATGAAGCAACACAGGTGGATGGAAGGAAGTGTGAGGTTATATTTTGGCTTCGGTGAAACCCATGAGCATTATTTTGCAATACACAAAGAAACTATTGCAGAAGATTCATTTTGTTGCTGCAGGAACAGATTTAATCTTCAGCAACGTGTCTGTATGCTTGAAAAAGCCACATAATTAAAGCTTTAGAGAAAACAAAAGCATACACACATCTCCACACAAAATGCACAATTGACTGATACTTCTCTGTGTCTTCCATTGGCATACCTTTTAATGGGGTAACTATTGTCTTAGCAGACTTCTTCAGTGAAGATGCTGATCAGTATAAATTCAAATGTTAGAGGACACACAAATACATATCTACTTATAAACTGGATTATGTCTTATTCTGGACTTTTCTTACTCTTTCGGCTTGCTCTGGGATTTACATCACACACATGCATGCTAAAGGTCACGTATCTTGCAGGCACTGTGAGTACAGAGCTTAAAGGACTACAGAAAGTGGAATTAAATGTAACATTTGCAACCTAAAGTTGGAAAAACAAAAAAAGGATCTTTGAAAATGATTTGATTTGAAGGACTTTCCTATGGAAGCTTGTTTCCGCCATAGAATGCAAAATATAAAAGGTTAATGCGACTTTTTATCTCACAATTCTGACTTTATATCACGCAATTGTGAGTTTACTTCTCGCAATTCTGACTTTATTTCTCAGAATTGTGAGATGGAAAGTCAGAATTGCGAGATATAAAGTCAGAATTGGGTGATTTAAAGTCGCAATTGCCAGATATAAAGTCAGAATTGCGTGATATAAACGCAATTCTGACTTTATATCTCGCAATTCTGACTTTATATCTCGCAATTCTGACTTTATATCTCACAATTCTGACTTTATATCTCGCAATTCTGACTTTATATCTCGCAATTCTGACTTTATATCTCGCAATTCTCACTTTATATCCCGCAATTCTGACTTTATATCTCACAATTCTGACTTTATCTCACAATTCTGACTTTATATCACGCAATTCTGACTTTATATCTCGCAATCCTGACTTTATATCTCGCAATTCTTACTATATCACGCAATTCTCACTTTATATCTCGCAATTCTGACTATATCACGCAATTCTGACTTTAAATCTCACAATTCTGATTTTATATCTCGCAATTCTGATTTTATATCTCACAATTCTGGCTTTATATCTCGCAATTCTGACTTTATATCACGCAGTTGTGACTATATCATGCAATTCTGACTTTATTTCTCGCATTTCTGACTTTATATCTCACAATTCTGATTTTATATCTCACTATTCTGACTATATCTCGCAATTCTGGCTTTATATCTCGCAATTCTGACTTTATATCTCGCAATTCTGGCTTTATTTCTTGCATTTCTGACTTTATATCTCACAATTCTGGCTTTATATCTCGCAATTCTGACTTTATATCACGCAATTCTGACTTTATTTCTCGCAAATCTGACTTTATATCTTGCAATTCTGACTTTATATCTCATAATTCTGACTTTATCTCACAATTATGACATTATAACGCAATTCTGACTTTATATCATGCAATTCTGACTTTATATCTCGCAATTCTTACTATATCACGCAATTCTCACTTTATATCTCGCAATTCTGACTATATCACGCAATTCTGACTTTAAATCTCACAATTCTGATTTTATATCTCGCAATTCTGATTTTATATCTCACAATTCTGACTTTATATCTCGCAATTCTGACTTTATATCTCACAATTCTGACTTTATATCACGCAATTCTGACTTTATATCTCGCAATTCTGACTTTATATCTCACAATTCTGATTTTATATCTCACAATTCTGACTTTATATCTCGCAATTCTGACTTTATATCACGCAATTCTGACTTTATATCTCACAATTCTGATTTTTATCATGCGATTCTGCATTTATATCTCGCAATTCTGACTTTATATCTCGCAATTCTGACTTTATATCACGCAATTCTGACTTTATATCACGCAATTCTGACTTTATATCTCACAATTCTGATTTTATATCTCGCAATTCTGACTTTATATCTCGCAATTCTGACTTTATATCTCGCAATTCTGACTTTATATATCACAATTCTGACTTTATATCTCGCAATTCTGACTTTATATCTCACAATTCTGACTTTATATCTCGCAATTCTGACTTTATATCTCACAATTCTGACTTTATATCTCACAATTCTGACTTTATACCTCTAAAAAAGTCAGAATTGTGAGATAAAAAGTCACAATTATATATTTTATTTTTTTATTCGGTGGCAGAAACAAGCTTCCATAATTTTCCTGTACAGGTTGAAGTGTGAGAAAACTTCTTTGCATGCTAGTGAGAGATCTGGCCTACTGTAGGAACACCTGGGTCAAAACATGTGGTGCCATTATAACACAAAATATGATGGAAAATACAAATGGTTTCGTCGAGTTAATGCTTGTTTTGCTATCAGTGATTATGAAAGTTTTACTTGAAATCAACTTTGCCCACATGTACTTGACCTGGATGGTATTGAACTTGCAGTGTTGGGGAGAAAGTAACTATAATCTTACTCACTACAAACGTTTAGCATTGTAACAGTAGCTCTGCTAGAATTGATGTAGTGCAAGTAGAAGAAAGAAAAATATGTTTTACACATTAATGAAGACTTAAAAAAAGCTGAATGGAGTGGGTTGTCTTGGGGTGGTTAACTATTTAAAAGTCACATGACCAGTTGAACATCATCTATCTTATCTCTGAATGTGAACACACTGTAAAAATGAAAATGCTTTATCTAATCAATAGAATTGTGGCAACAGATTACAAGCAATATTGTTAATTAAATTTAACAAATTAGAATTTAGTAATAATTAATCAAATTATTCATTAAAAGTTAACTATAAGTTTACACCAAAAAATTTAACAAAAATTTCTCACTAACAGACAGACGTCAAAGATTAATTAAGAACTCTTTATTTTATATTGCCAACATTGAAGACTGATGTTAACAAGCAGAATCACTGAAGGAGAAAACCGTAAATTTAAAAGAAACCTAAAACAAACACCGATCACCATAATGGTGACTTCAATTTATGTTTTTTTGGTTGTTGTAAGTTTTACTCATTTTAAATGGTTAACTTTTAAGGAATTAATTTGATTAATTATTACTCAATTCTAATTTGTTAAATTGAATTAATAATAATGCTTATAATCTGTTGCCACAATTTTTTGATTAGATAAACAAGCATATTCTTTTTTACAGTGCAGAGCGTTCACAACAATAATGGTCAGTTTTCCAAACCATTGAAACACTGCTATTTTTTCAAGCAAGTTAAACGTTGTTGCCCAATTGCAATCATCATTGTTTTATGTGCTTTGTAGCTTTGTAAACTACAGTCTAAAGGTATAGCTTCCCCAACACTGACAACTTGTTATTGGAGTTTTACTCTTAGTAATACTCACCAGGAACTTTTGAGGTGCTGGGCTCCTCTTCTTTTACCTCAGTCACCTCGACGAGCTTCTCAGCCCGTGTTGGCTCTGGCTCATTGTGCCCATTCTCTACAGGCTCTGTCACTATTGGCCCTGTGTCTGTGACCTCAGCCTCTACTGGCTCTATTTCAGTCACCACAATTGTTATGGGTTGTGGCTGTGGAGCCTCAGCAGCAGGTATGGGTACGGCTGCCTCTGGTTCTGTGACAGTCACTATGACCTCTGTGTCTTTGGTTGCCGCTTTAGCCTCTGTATAGCAAACACAGCCAGGCTAGAGCAGCAAGACTTCAGGAAGCCAACTTCAACCCAGATTACACATGCACACTCTCATATAGATGTACAGTAACTAAACTGGTCACTTAAATAAGTCAAATATGTGTTTTAATATACATGTTTATTTTCATTTACGCATTTTTTAGGGCTGTTTGAATTTAGTCAGGTGACCAAAACAGATGTAGTCACTGTACATATATGAAACTGTAAATCCCAAAAAGAAGCAAAGTACATCCAACTGTGCAAGCATCTGTACACTGTACATGTTTTAGGACATATTCATTTCAAATATATAATTTAGTAATATAATATACATATATTAAAATTTTAAATATCCATATATTTGTACACACCAATAGCATTTCTAATGCAGTCAGCTTTATTTTGAAAGCACAATAAACAGTTGATGCCTTTTTGCGGGTGTCATTTGCTTCTTTTCATATACTATACCTTCACATCAAACTTCTCCATATATACAGATGTGCATTTACTCAAGAAAATCCTGTCATCCATAAACCAGAACAGGCATTAGTACTGACGGAGGTGTGGGTTAAGGTGTGTGGACCACCGTAGTGTTCGCGTGAACCTTTTGTGCCATGAGGTGTGTGTGTTTACCGTAGTTTGTACTGTATGTGCGATGATTTACCTGAACTGTTGTGGTCACAAAGTGATAATTTGGTGGAAATCACAGTGGCACAAACACTCTCACACACGTGAGGTCAGAGTGCCGTGGGTGAAACTGAGAAGCGAAGGGAAGCAAAGTGGGGATGTGGTTGAACACCTACCTTTTGGTGTGATCTCAACCGAGTTCTCAGATGGGGCGTCGCCAGAGACTGGGGCAACATTCTCTGAGTATGTGACAGACATAGCGGAGGAATGCAAGTGCCTCTTTCAAAGCATGAAGCGTCAGCAACACAAACAGACACATACATATGCTGAAGGACAGGAGACGATACAAACTCACTCACAGACACGTATATACATATATAGCCTAGATATAAATGTCATTACATACACAAAAACACACAGTGGACCTCCCTCAATTATAAAATACAGGCAAAAACTCTCCAAAAAAAATTCCTGTTTTGGAGAGTAAAAGAAAATGATCTCTAAAGGATGAAATAGACATAATTTAACAATGATTATTAATTTTTTCATGTATGTTTCAGTAGACTGGTAACATGGGCCAGAAATGTCATCTGAATCAACAACCCATGATCTTCTGGACAGAATACAGGGATTCAGACCATTGATAACTGATCAAGGCATAGCATTGACTAATCTGTGTGAATACTTCCCATTTGCACTGCTGTGGCCACCATGCATGATCGCACATTAAGCTATACCAGTGCTGTGTGCTTAAGACCTTATTGAATGTGTACTTTGCTGTTTAAAGCAGAAATACCCAACTTATGTCATATAAAGAGAGACTCAAACAGAATCAACCGGTGGTGTATTTGTATCAAGAATGTAGCCTACTGATTATAATTAGCTTATTTATTCACTTTATTAGGTAGCCTATGTGACTCCCTAGAATACTTCAATATATTTTTTTAAATTTTCTTTTTGCCTATCAAGCCTGCAGTAAATGATCAAAAATACAAAAAAACCCCTGTAATATTATGAAATATTATTACAATGTAAAATATTGGTTTTCTATTTTAATAGCTTACTTTAAAATATAATTTTTTCTGTGTTACTCCATTCTTCAGTGTCACGTGATCCTTCAGAAATCCTTCTAAGATTAGTTGATTCTTAGTTATTATCAATGTTGGAAACAGTTGTGCTGCTTAGTATTATTTTGGAACTTGTGATGCTTTTTTTTAGGATTGATGAATACATTTTATAAAGAATAGCATTTATTTCAAATTATAAATGTTATGTAACAAATACTGTTCTTTTTAACTTTTTATTTATCAATGAATCCTGGAAAAAGTATGACAGGTTCCCAAAAACATATTAAGCAGAGCAACTGTTTCCAACATTGATGATAAACCGAGGCTGAGCAGAAATCAGCATATTAGAAAGATAGGATCATGTGACACTGGCTGAAGACTAAGTAATTATGCTGTAAATGCAGCTTTGCATCACAGGAATACATTAGCCTGCATTTTAAAGTATAGGCTATAGAAAACAATTATTTTAAATTGTAATAATATTTCTAGGGCTGTCAAACGATTAATCGCGATTAGTCGCATCCAAAATCAAAGTTTGTGTTTACATAATATATGTGGGTGCACTGTGTATAATTATTTTGTATTATATATAAATACACACACATGCTTGTATATTTAAGAAAAAAATATATTATTTCTATAAAAATATTTATATTTATTATATATAAATATAAATATTTTTATATAAATAATGTTTTTTTCTATATACAAGCATGTGTGTGTATTTATATATAATACAAAATAATTATACACAGTGCACCCACATATATTATGTAAACACAAACTTTTCTTTTGGATGCGATTAATCGTTTGACAGCCCTAAATATTTCACAATATTACTGTTTGTTTTTTTCTCTGTATTTTTGATCAAATAAATGCATGCTTGATGAGGTAAATAAATGCATGTGGTTGCAGCTAGCATACTAATCCCAAATAAGTGACAAAATGTGCGATTAGTATGCTAACTGCAACCATTTACATCCAGTCTTTGTGCTAAGCTAGGTTAGCGGTGGGTGCGTCAGACAAAGTTACAGCACGCACGGAGATGAAAAAGGTATGTATGGACTTATCTAACTCTGGGGGATATGGTGAATAATCTAAAGTCCAAAAAAGTCGGAGTGTTCAGTCACGTTTACTGGTTTCCAGCAAATTTTTGTGGTCGAAATCCAATCATTTCAAATCCATGCTGTCGTGAATTTCTCAAATTATCGATCGACGCACTCAGTGAACAACTGAAAGCCGCTTGATTTTTAAGTAATATCTTTGTGCTCTTACATTGCTACAGTATTGATAATAAACAATTGACCTTTTATGACCGTGAAGAATCAAGTGTTTTAATGTTAGCGTACCTTAAATGTTTTGGCCTCGAAACTTTGTGTTTCACTGTTTCTAACTGTCACCAACGCGGCTACTTGAACGAGTATCTCCACTTTGACACTAGTTTCCAATACACCGTCAACAGCAAATTGTACTAGTAATGCCCCGGGATTACTAAAGTATTGATTATATGATAAGAATGAATGTTTTGATATTTTGAGGTCTAGCAGCCCCCATTTAAAATACTGTTTCACCGGAGCTAAATATATTAGCTATAGCTTAGCAAGTCTAGAATAAAATGTGTTATTTCTGTTTTCTATTAATTTAAGTACCCAATGATTTCTAGTCAGACTCTGTTTAAAGTTTTTCCCTTCCCAACTATTGAATCTCGTTTATCCATTCAGGGTGAGGCAAACGGTTTTCTGAAGAAATTCACCACTCACCTTCAGGTTGGCCATCATCTGTCAGGAAAAAAAGAAAGAAAAACAGCTTCATGAAGTTTACTTTAACTTTGGCAAGCTAAGCTTTAAATGTTTCTACAATATTATATGGCTACTGGCCCCCGGTTATACATTTTTTGACACTTGATGTCTGAATATCTTTCCAAAAAAAAAAAAAAAAAAAAAATCCAAGTGTCATTTGGAAACAAATGTGCTTGTGCTGTCTTTAAAATAAAATCCACTTGATTTAATATTTTGTTATCAAATATAATGATATTTTGCTGTCTGTATACCTTTTGGGCTACTGTACGTATTTGTACAGACATATATGAGCTTTATTTGTCTTTAAAGCATGTCTCAGTGTGCAGTATTGTGTTAGTTGCGGTGCGTCTAGACTTAGAGCAAACAGTTTAAAGAAGCACATGATGACAGTAAACCCAGCAGAGCGTGATGAAAGTGTTCTTACAGACCCTAATATGATTAGAGGAGTTAAATAAAAGCCGAACAAGATCAATGAGCGCATACATCCCTTGGTATGATAGTTCTAAAATAAACCAGCTGTTTTATATATAGATCACCATATGACACGTGATGGGCACCTGACTCTTTTTAAAGCAGACAAAGCTGCAAATGATCTAATATCATCTTTGAATTTACTTAGAAAGCTGTGATGCTAAATTTATGCATATAAAAAGACAAACATGAGGTCATGTGATGGGATTTTGAGCAATCATTGCCCAGTTGCTGGATAGACACCTGAACAGAAGGAATGCAAATTGACAAATTGCTTGAGAGCAATGAGAGTAAATGGAGACTTTTGGAATATCCTGCTTCTCGGATTTACAAAAAGACCAAATATTTTCTCCTTTATAGTTTAAAAGAAAGGAGATCTGAACTTTGTCACAAATTTTAAAATGTTTTAAAAGTTCTCAGAAATCTGCACTCATAGTCAGAGATCTCAAACTTCCAGGGATGTTTAGGAATAACATTTCAGACCAAGTTGAACTTGGATCATCGCAAACTCCTCTGAGCTCTTAAAGAGCAACAAAACCTTCCTCTGGGTTTTTATGTGATGTACTGTAAATGTCAGCAGCTTTGTCTCAGAGACCCGCTCCTGTTGCCTTGGAATGGGCTGCTGTGAATTCTGCGAGGATGCCAGCCTAGTCTGATCATGGCACAAATCATGATCTCTATGAAACACTCGAAGAACAACCGCTCCATTCCTGCCCCCTGCTGTCAGAAGCCAATGTGAACACCTGTGCGTTTAGCTTATTGATTTTTTTGACATCTCTCAGCTTTTAGCTCCCTCGTTTTTTGCTGTTTCTCTCAGTCCATCTCATTATCTTCAGTTCATTGTCACTCTGTTTTGTGCACACTGTACAGTACATAGCGACATCATGTCATGTTCTACGTATATTGCATTGTCTCCTCAGTCGTCATCTTATGGAGTAGCTAAAAACTTGTCAAAAGACTCGTCAAAATGTTTAAAGTTTAAACTCTTGAATTCATGAGACTTGACACAATTATATGGGACCAGAAATGTAAAGAAACATTTAGATGTTCTAACTAACATCTGAGAGTAGGGATTTGATCTCTAAAAAGATGATTATAATAATTATTATTATTATTGTAATGATCTCACCACTAAACAGTATGTAAATAATAATAATTATCAATATAAATCTTGTTTTTTATGCATGTTAATGAGTCTTTTGAGGCACACAATTTGTTCACGTTACTATGTTGCATGACGTGACAATGCAAAAAACTAAATTTTGATGTTTTTTGCATGTCATTTGAGACACCTAATTCTTACTTTATTTATTTACTGTAAAAGTGAATATGCTTTATCTAATCAAAAATTGTGGCAACAGATTACAAGCAATATTATTAATTAAATTGAACAAATTTTAAAAATGAGCAATAATTAATCAAATTAATTCCTTAAAAGTTAACCATTTAAAATGAGTAAAACTTACAACAACCAAAAAAAAAACATAAATTGAAGTCACCATTATGGTGATCGGTGTTTGTTTTAAAATTATGGTTTTCTCCTTCAGTGATTCTGCTTGTTAACATCAGGTGTCTTCAATGTTGGCAATATAAAATAAAGAGATATTAAAAAAAAAATCTCAATTAATCTTTGACGTTACATTTTTTGGTGTAAACTTTACTCATTTTAAATGGTTTACTTTTAAGGAATAATTTGATTAATTATTACTCAATTCTAATTCATTTTTACAGTGCAATAGTAATTATTAATACAATTAGATTTTTATTCATCTTTTTTGATCCCGTCTTTTTTGTCTTGTGTATATTGTATATAAATGTAATAATATTAAATCAAGACGTTTTTGCAAGTGAGTTAGTCTTTTGAGATATCTAATCGTATTTTATGTCTCTCTCTCTTTTTTTATCATGTGCATGATGCCATCCTACAGGTCACGTCTTTTGGACACCTTAGCTCAGATTTGGCAATGACGTTGGTCCTTCCACCTATTAAAGAGTCATTTATGTCACCGTTAAGCTAGCTTGTGTGGCATTGTGCCCGTTTCGAGATCCTCCCTGGCTCATCCGGCAATAACGACAATTCTGAAAGGTATTGTTTTACCATCGCAGTGCAGCACAACAGCATGCAGGTATGTTCAGCTGTCCCTACTGCTGTCATGAGGACAGACAGGCTCATGTTGACCCCCTCCACACACAAACACTTGTTACTAGTCCTTCAGTTAAAGAACTTTTTCTGTTCAATGGTTTTTATTTGATAATGCACTGTGTTGATTGTCACAAATAACACAGACTGAAAAACTTCCATAATCAAAAGGTTAAGGGGATAGATGCAGCTTTTAGTTTAAGAATCAGTCTTTTTTAATTGTTGTAGTTCTACAGAAACAAAGTACAATTGCACGTGGAAGTTGTGCTGGCACTGATAATGACAGACATCAGAGAGCAGATGACAGCTTGAATGTGTTGTTTCTCTGGGTGTTGATTTATGAGTGGGAACTGACATGAAGGAATGACACTTCGAATTCTTTGAATAAGAAAAAAGTGAAAGTGAGACATGCAGGGTCCAAAAATGAACACTCCCTCAAGTAAAAGTTGCCAATTGGCTGGTAACATTATAAGGAACTGTTACATAATGCACAATAGTTAAAGTTATTGACGTGCATAATTCAAAACGAATGGCCATCTACAAATAGGATACCTAAAATATTATTTTCCCAGGACTTCATATATTTAAAAGTTGAATATTTCTCACATAAAAAAACAGTAGAATAAAAAAAAAAAAAAAAAAAAAAACAAGGTCTCTTAAGTTCACAGAGAGATTATGTTGTTGCGAGTGACACAATGACCTGATCTGTTTCACCATTAGCCGGTGAAAAAGTTAATTTTGGACCTTGGATGTACGCCACCCTAATGAAGGGTTTGACATTCGGATTATTTCCCCTTTGACTGTATCTTTAAGTCATTAGTCAAAGGGCAGCTATTACTCTGATGCGCCTCCATAGATAAACTTTCACTGATACAGGCTACTAAAGTTTTTGTTTCCTTCCATTGTTGTTTTCCCATGGGATGCTGTCATATGTGGAGAAAAGTCATAACCTCCATCCTTCGATATTATTTATCACAGAGATCAAAGTTCAAACAAACAAGCTTGGGATTCTCAGGATGAGAGAGACATAAAGTCACTGGATGAAAGATAGGACTAACAGAGAGAAGAGAGAGCAATGGGGATTAAAAGTCTGCTCATTCTGAACTATTCCAGGGGTCTGGAATCCTGTTCCCTGGGGGTCCAGCCCTGTTCATCCCTCATCCAGCCTTTTAAAGCCTGGAGTCAACGCTCCACGGCAACCCCTCCCCCCCATCAGCTGTTCCCTCAAATTTATGAGAACAATCATTTTATTTTTCAAACTCCCCCTTTAGCTTATTTATGATAGGCATCTACTCTATGTGAAATCCATTGTACTTTAAATATTACAGTTGGCACATCGACTACTTTGTTTTCATCTTTCACAGTAACCAATTGGAAGTCTCATTGTTTGTTACTTGAGAAAGGAACTAGTTGAACTGCAAAAAGCATTTTCTTAATCACAGTTGTGTGTCTTTTTTTCCGGTAAAAATATTGAAACGACCTTAAAACAAGATAAATTTACTTGAGAAGCTAAATGCTAATAGTACATTTCTTGTTTTAAACAATCTTGATAGTTCACTTTGAAATTAATTTTTGATATGTTTTAGCTTGCCTCTAGTGCATCCAAGATGTAGGTGTCTTTGTTTCCACAGTATTTTCAATTTTGACATTTTGAGGTCAAACCGTTTGTGTCTATCACTCATATAATGGAGGTCTATGGGGTCCACCTCAAAGAGCATGCACAGAGAAGTCCAAATTAAACATGATTTAATGACTCGGAAATGTAAGTACACATTGATGGCCTAAGACACGAAACGAGCGGTTTTGTGTGAGAAAATGAACAGTATTTATATCGTTTTTACCTCTTGTAACCACAGCCACGTCCAAGTGATCTGATCTGGTTACAAGAGGTAAAAACGATATAAATACTGTTCGTTTTCTCACACAAAACTGCTCGTTTCGTGTCTTAGGCCATCAATGTGCACTTACATTTACGAGTCATTAAATCATGTTTAATTTCGACTTCTCTGTGCATACTCTTTAAGGTGGACCCCATAGACCTCCATTATATGACTGATAGACAACAACGGTTTGACCTAAAACAACAAAATGGAAACTACTGTGGAAACAAAAACACCTACATATTGGATGCCCTTGAGGTAAGCTAAAACAAACCAAAAATTAATTTCAAAGTGAACTATCCCTTTAAAGCTAAAATGTAGGTACTTTTTTAAAAATAAATTAAATTAAATTAATTGAAGATACATTATAATGTTATTTATCCTCTTTAGGATAATTCACCCCAAAATTAAAATTCAGTCATCATGTAATCAACCCAAAACCTTTCAGAATACAAAAATACTGATTAAGAAAATGATTTTAGGCCTTTTAGTCACCTTGTGCATCCTATCCAGAATCCCTTCATTCAAGACCTTAAAAATCTGCTCAGTCAACTGGATGGCATTGGTGATTGGTGACGGGCACGTCTGCAAACCATTTACAGAAATGAATCCTGTTTATGACCATGCTTATAAGCATCATCAAAATAGCAGCCATAACATCAGTCTCCAAGATTGCCCTCATTCTGCTTCTTAATCCCCATTGTCCATTGGTGGACGGATCCTTTCCAATGTGAATGTGTTTTGAGGCAGATATTAAAATATGAGTCATCCTCAGACAAAGGCTAAAGCCTGACCATAAATAAAATTTAATGAGTTGTCAATGCTTGTCAAGAATGATGAAATCTCATCGCATAAGGGATGGGGACGCAGTTCCAAATTTCCAAATCTGTCTGGCATAATAATAATAATGCAATGAAACTCAAAGGACAAGAACACACAATGCCGCATCCTCATATTTCTCCATCCATCCATTAGGCAATGGAAGCTGATCTCCATATCATCACCCCTGAAATATTTGTCCATCTGGAGGCGTAGCATCCCCACTGGGCCATCGGCATTGCATCATCCATCAGCGATGCCTCTGGCACCACAGTAAAGCTGGGCTCTAGGACTTGTAACCCAGCGCCGGGTAAGTCATCACCATTCCATACCCAGAATCCTGTGTAGCTCAGCTGACTGTGCTCTCCTAATCGCCTTTACTATGTGCCATCCATCATAGCAACAGTCATGACAATAGTTGCTTTGTATAAAGTTGCTTGGATCACCTCATCATCCAGCACAACGTGAATCCCAAAACCGCTCCCAGAATTCCTGATCATCCCTGAGCTTTTTATGTCTTATGACTGTAAGGATGCAGCAAAATAGTACATACTTCTAACCAACCAACTTGACCTATACATTATACTCTATATTTTTTAGTACGTTATATTCTGTACACTGTTTATTTCATCTCACACAACTGATAATACACAATTATCTGCATTCTTTACTTCAACTTTGTATATTATGTGTAACTCAAATGGAGTTGGGCAAACTCACCAAGGTGAAGTCCGTGTTAGTTCAAGCCTATTCGGCTCATAAACTTTAGATTAGAATCAAAACAGGTGAAGCAAATCAACAACACAATGTGTTATCAGCATGTTTGTTAGTAAGGTTGAGGCGATATCACTCATAAATGTTGTTGTATGTCTTGATTTGCTAGAATAATGCTAATAATGTCTTGCCACCCTAAAATGTTTCTCTACCTTTTGCTGCAGTTTTCCCAGCAGACTACGAGATCTGTGGCGTGATGATGGACAGAATTGGTTCTCACCTTTCTTTGTGGGCTCAGGCATGTTGAGCCGTTCTCCGGTGGACCTGGCACCAGTTGGAGGGATTCAGGGGTGAGTCTGGGCTGCCCAGTGTGTGTCCTTTAGCCAGGGGGTGTTATGATGGAGAAACAGGGGTGAGGAAAGCTGCACCAGAGACTGTGGAAGCCAATGAGGATGAGGGCAACGCAGGAACGAGAAGGAGAAAGGAACAGATCTGGGGGTGATGAATAAATGGGGTTTATATAGCACTCATCCTAGCCACTCCTCTCTCTCTTTGATAATGGAGCCCAAAAAGATCCCTAACACCTCCCTCCCCTTCTCTCCTAAAGTCCTGGGGATTAGATGTGGCACGCTGTGCCCTGTCTCCTCACCAGCTGGAGTCAGATAGGGCTTTTACATAACGTTGCATTGCAAAAAAAAAAAGACGGTATTTTTGTTGACAAGTTGTTATTGCTTTAAAGGAGTAGTTCACTTTTAAAAAAACTTTTGCTGATAATTTACTCACCCCCATGTCATCCAAGATGTCCATGTCTTTCTTTCTTCAGTCGAAAAGCAATTAAGGTTTTTGATGAAAACATTCCAGGGTTTTTCTCCATATAATGGACTTCAATGGGAACCAAACGATTCAAGGGCCAAAAGACAGTTTCAGTGCAAACTGTTCAAAGGGCTTTAAACAATTCCAGACGATGAATCAAAATGAACGAATCTTTTTTCGTGTCATTTGGTTCATTCAACGAACGAAATGAACGAGTTGACTCTGGGAAAGATTTGTTCATTTTGATGAACGAGTTTGAATAGGAGAGTCACGAACGCTCATTTGAGGCGAGCATTTGAGCTTATAAAACTTAAACTTTGTTATTTATTTTTTAAATGAGCGATCATTTCGCTTGATAAGACCCTTATTCATCATCTGGAATCGTTTAAAGCTCTTTGAACAGTTTGCACTGAAAGTGTCTTTTGGAACTTAAACCGTTTGGTTCCCATTGAAGTGCATTATATGGAGAAAATCCTGGAATGTTTTCATCAAAAACCTTCATTTCTTTTCGACTGAAGAAAGAATGGCATCAACATCTTGGATGACATGTGGGTGAGTAAATTATCAGCAAAAGGTTTTTTTTAAAAGTGAACTACTCCTTTAAATCAAAATGATAATGTATAAAAATAAAATTAATATCTATTCTAAGTGTCGAGGTCGATCCAGGATAATATGCATCCTGATAAAGTTCCCTTGGCCTTTGGAATTAAAATATCCCCACATCATCACACACCTTCCACCACACCTAGAGATGGGCATGGTTTTACTTCAGTTAGCCTAATAGCTGGTTTGATTTGCATTGAAAGATGATCTTATGGAAAGTACCCCATGCCAATCTCTAGGTGTGGTGGAAGGTGTGTGATGATGTGGGTCTATTTTAATTCTAAAGGCCAAGGAAACTTTATCAGGATGCATATTATCCTGGATCCATGAAATAACTGGCTTTTAAAAATAAAAATCTGCCTGACTCTATGGGAATTTAACATAGGGGTGCCCTGACTTATGCACCCTGTATTTTAAGGAAAAACATTTATTTATTTATGATACATTATTCATTCGCAAAGAAAATTTGTGTCCTTAAAGGTTGGAGTTTTCCTCATTTTTAAGATCAATATCCAAAAGATTATTTTTTATTCCTCTTTTTAGGCAACTTTAGCATGGGTGTCCAAACTTATTCACACCACTGTATGTCACATTTTCCATTTATTTAATTTTTTAATATATAATAATAATATATAATAAATAACATTGAATAAAATGTAAAGCTATAAAATTCATGGAAGAAATGTAATATGTATATATATTTTTATAATTTAAAAATATTATATAATAAGAAATTATACAATGATAATAGTAAAATATAATACATTGTTTTTATACTTTTTAAAAAAAAAGTATTTATTCTTTTTAAACATAAAAACGTCTAGAGTAACAATGTGTTTGTTCTGAAGAGACGACCCTGCCACAAGGCCCATGTCAAGGGCATTGACTATAGGGTGAAATAGATATTATTAGGTGATGCTGTCATCCAGGGGTTCCTAGTGTCTAAGCTCCACCCTTTCCCTAGAAGGCCTTTGGGTGATATTTAGGGCTTAGTGAGAAAAATAGGAAACATTCACTTCAAGTGCCAGAGATGATGTGGATGTAATGTGGATGATGGTGATATGAACAAACCGGGACTATAAATTCTGCTAAGATGCCTGAGCAATGCTTTTAAAGTCTATAATTAGAAGGCCATCCTGAACTCTGACTTTTGACATATGAAGCATGGAAAGATGATGGGATTGTTGTCATTGTCAAGACTCTAATTATCCTGTTAACGCTTTAATTTTCACTATAAATCAGGCCCTGCTTCTTGCAGACGTGACAGACATTACACAGTGAGCCAACAAAGCTTTAATTGTCTTAGTGAGCAGTTCCATTTAATTTGATTTATTATTTCTAGAAATTTGAAATGCATCTCAAATAATAAAGATTTGAAATCAATCTCCTTGAACTAATAACATTATGCTAATTCATATTCAGAAATTCGTACTGATATTTTGGTGTGCATTATATTAAAAAGTGATACAAATGTCCTGGTAACAAACATCAAACATTATTAAAAAGAACCATATTCCGTAGTTAGTTTGGAATAATATGTGTGCCAAGCAAGTCTCTTAAACTGTCAATTGATTTCTCATTTTTATGACATGACAAAATGTGATGCGACTCTTCGTAACTGATATTTATTAATTAAACAGTTTTCAAAAGCATGTTAAACCTATATGAACACAAAACATTTCTAAGAACGTGGAACTTGTGTTGTCTCTGAAAGTCTAGATGAACTGCAGACATGAATATGGCAAAGATTGAGAACAACAGTCAACTTCTCAAACGGTCACATGAACGTCATATAAGATGGTTCTGCTGAGCCAGTAGCATATTATATATTAAGCCAGGAGACGTCTTTAGTAATTTCAGGCTGTTCTTGTTCTGAACGACTTGACGGGAATGAGTCAGCAGCCATTCTATCCGTAGTGACACTTGCCATCAAAGAAATCCACGTTTAGAATGGGAATTTTTCAAAAGCGTGTGGTCGCATTAACAAAATTAAATTGGAATCTCGACCTGCCTGTGTGTGATATAAGGAGGTTATGAATGTTGTGCCATACTCTTCTATCACAAACCATCTTGACTGATTTTAAGCATGATTTTTTTTGGCCTTTGTTGGTAGCAGAGCCTCCAACGAGGGGCCCATTTATAACCCTTAAGACAGGCTGCTGGGGAAGTATCATGTGGGCCTGCCACAAAGTTCACACAAAACCATTTGGACCAGACTGCTGGTTAAAGGTTCATGTCGCCCATGGGGATTTAGCTCTCACGGTCACCATAAAAAGCTCAGACGAGAGAGTCACAGTGGCACCTGCCTTGACAAATGCACACACACACTCACACATAGGCGATTAAACAAAAGACGAATTTATATCATCTCCGAATTTCGGCATCTCCTTAAGATTCAGTACGTTCAATAGAATGGAGGCAGTGCTTTAGATATAGTGAGCCTGTAAAGCATGAATACTCGCTGCAGAAATAGATTTCACTCCTTCCTTTAAAGAAAACACTGTGGGACTATAAATGGCGAGAAACGCCATCTCTGAATGGCAAATTACAATGTGTGAGGAGGACACTGTGGCTGGTCAGTCAGTCAGGGAGACTAAACCAAGAATGTGTCTTTTAGTAGGGTGCTGTCAACAGCTCTACGTCCATCTTCACTGATGCCAGTGAAGAAAAAAAAAACACAACAGCTGCTTACAGTGCATGGCTCCAAAAAGCATTTGAATGCTTAAGCCAGGCTTAAAAATGTATGAATTGTAGATGCAACAAAATCTCAAACCGAATGGCATTTATTGTAAAGAAAGACAACAGTTCACAATGTCAAAATACTAGATTATGCTCAAAATATTGATGAAAAGTTATTGTTTGGCTTCATGCATTCACAAAAAAACTTATCTACACTGTAAAAAAAAAAATATATATATATATATATATATATATATATATATATATTCATGATTTGTAACCTCAACTTTTTATCTTTTGTCAAATCAACTTAATTAATGTGGTTCAGATAACATTGTTTCTATTTATTATACCAATCTTCTTCATTGTATTAACTAATTTTTTATTTCAATGAACTCAAAATAACTTATAACTAAGTTACACCAACAATATATATATTTTTACAGCGTAATTTTACAAATCGATAAGAAAAAGTGGTAACACTTTACAATAAGGTTCATTAGTTAACATTAGTAAATGCATTAACTAACATGAACTAACGATGAGCATTGCATTAGTTACAGTGTTTATTAATCTTTGTTAATGTTAGTTAATATAAATACAGCTGTTCATTGTGCGTTCATGTTAGTTCACAGTGCATTAACTAATGTTAACTAATACAACCTTTGATTGTAATAACGTATTAGTAAATGTTGGAATTAAAATTAACTAAGATTAATAAATGCTGAAGAAGTATTGTTCACATATTGTACATGTTAACTAATGTAGTTTACTAATGTTAACTAATGTAGTTTACTAATGTTAACTAATGTAGTTTACTAATGTTAACTAATGAACCTTATTGTAAAGTGTTACCGAAAAAGTTTGTTTTGAGAAAAGCATAATTTGTTCACAGAGTTCACTTGCTTGAGATTTTAATGTATTATGCAATAACATAACAGGTTTGACCCACTGAATTTAAACCGGCTTTGTTGTTAAGTAAATCTAAAATTAAAACTGTTAAAAATATTTTTTGTTAATTTAAATAAAGCTGAAATAAGATAAAAATATTAGATATATCATGTAAACTTAAAAAAAAACAAAAAAACAATAAAATTAAAATGACAAATGTGCCCTTGGCAAATAACTGAAATAATTTGAAGCATTAAAAATAATAAAATGAAAGCTAAATAGAAATACAAAAATGATAAAAGCACATAATTAAATTTCTAAAAAAAAATAGGATTGACTATATATGCAAATGTACACAAATACAATTTTATTTATAAAAGACAAGTTTATAAAAGACATGCTTTTTAAATGCATCAAGAATTGAAAAATCTAAACTTAAAAACAAAAACAAAAAAAAAAACAATTACAAATATTGCCTTGGCAACTAATTGTAATAAAATAAGTTGAAGTACTAAGAACAATATAAGTTAAAGCTAAATGGAAACCTAAAAAATGAAAAAGTGAATCTTAAATTGCTACAACCTAAACAAAAATAGTATACAGTACAATATAAATAATACTAAAATAGCACTGAAGTGAACAAAAAAAAATATATAGAAGATGCTTTGCAATGATTTTTGTGGATTTGTAATATACAGCATCAATGATTGTTTACTGTAAAAAAAATAAGTTGTTAATAATTAAGTAAAAAAACTGTATAACTGTAGCGAATCACTGAGTGACAATCACAATAATAGCAGTGTAGCAGCTTTGCCACCTACTGGGAACAAATGCGCAGTGCGGGAAGAAGCAGACATCTTGTCTGTTTTTATCTGGTTTTGTTCTTTTCAACTGCCAGCTTAAAAGCTGATTAAAAAAATAGAAAAATATCAAAAGAAAATGATAATAAAAAGACATACTTTATGTATCAAAAGAACAGCAAAAAGTACATCATTTGCTTAAAAGTATAAAAAAAAACACCATATTTATCACCTTCTTATGAAACGTAATTGAGCAAGAAAAAAATAAGAAACTAATTTTACCCTTCTCCCGTTACCAAGGCAATTAAGATATCATGAGAGTAACATAATGACCTTAACACACTGGAGACAATCATTGAGCTCTCATTTCAGTGCTTTCTTTTTATACTATGTTGATTCTGTAAAGTAGAGAGGGTAGCAACACTGAACTGGTAAGTCAGTTTCTTTTTCACTTTAATGATCTCCCCCGAGCGGGCGTAATTGCGTAGGGCACGGGACATTTTCTGGTAGGTCATGGGCATTCGGTTGCCCTTCCTCTGGCCCCACAGCTCTGCCACACGCTCCTTGTGCCTTGCAGAAAAGCGAAAGACGCCAGCTGAGGCCGGCACCCATGACACGCAGTGGGCCATGCCTGGGTCCTCCAGCATCTCGAACAGGAAGTGGAAAAGACGTAGCTTTTTCCCTGCAATCATAGAGACAATTGCGGTCGAACAGCGTTTATGTGTGTGCAAGGGGTGGCCGAATGCCTATGGAAACTATTTCCCATAAAACAGGCTTGTATTATGATAGGCGTAATTAAGATAAGCATCTCTAAAGCATCGCACAAGACCAGAGAAATTAGAGAGAACTGAGATTCTATTTGGCAGTTATGGGTAGGACGAGCCGCTCCCGAGCTGCAGTTCCCCTAGGTTATTCCTCACCTTTGAGATAGCATCTAAATGAAACCACAAAAGCAGAACTGACCTTTCTCTGCAGGTGTAATGCTGGGCAATGATTCGGCACACTTTTCAGGTGTTGTATTAGGAGTTAAAGGTCTCTCTGGTCCGTTTACGGCATTTAACACTCGCCCGTCGGGTGCATCGTGAAGGACCGAAGACTGGTCGACTACGGTGGGGCCGGTGCAATTTATCCCGCAGTCTGTATATGAGTCAGATCCGTTGGCTTTGGCCAGAGATCCCATGACCTATTCATTTGACAAAAGCTCTTGGGTTTAAAATTGAAAAGAATGAGTGCAAAAACGACACGATATGTTGAACTGAATATATTCACCTGCTCAGAAAACTGCAGCTGGGACTTTTCCTCCTCTAACACATTGCTGAAGTGCTCCTCACCAGGTTGCTTCTCTTCAGACGTGTTCACAACTTCATCAGTTGACATGACACAGAGATCCCTCACTGCCATTGCATTACAAAAAAAGTTAGTTGTGATAAACCCTAAACAGGCCATCCTTACTACTAATGTCAGTGTTTTTTTGTGAAAAAAAAGTCATTAAATAATAAGAATGCACTTAAGAATAAATGTACACACTTAATATAACTTTAGTCCATACTGAATGCAATGTTTTAATTGTATTTTAATGGCAATATAATGTATTCATATTATATTACATTTATATTATTATGTCATATAACACAAATTGATAAACTAAAATATACTTTAATGTAATTTCTGTTTAAACTATGTATTCAAAAGGTTTGTAATTACACATTTGTAATGATCAAGTACACTGTAAAAAAATATTGTTGGTTTAACTTAAAAAATGAAGTAACCTGGTTGCCTTAAAATTTTAAGTTCATTGAAAGGAAAAAAAAAAAGGAAAAATGTTGTGATTACAAATCATGAAAATATGTTTTTACAGTATAGCAATTGTAAGTCGCTTTGGATAAAAGCGTCAGCTAAATGAATAAAAATCAGATTTGTACATATTCAACACTTTTATTTCACCCAAATGTCACTGTAAAAAAAAAAATATTTTCATGATTTGTAATCACAACATTTTTTCTTTTGTCAAATCAACTTAGATAATTTATGCAGTTCAGATAACATAATATTTTGAGTTTCTGATGATTAAATCAATCTCCTTCATTGTATTAACTATTTTTTTCCATTTCAAATGAACTTATTTTTTAAGTTAAACCAACAATATTTTTACATGTGTTAGTATGTTGGTCAACTTTTTTTTATGCATGACAAAATGATTTAAAATGGACTTTAAAGTAAATCTTTGACTATTATCAGTTATTAGAAATTGTTAGAAAATGTGTTAAGAAACAGTGTTAAGTAAACTTGAGTGGTTATTTGTTTCATCAGTATTATATTATATATATATGATGTTTATATATGATGATGATATGATGTTTATATATGATGTTTATATGATGTATATATATATACACTGTAAAAACATATTTTCATGATTTGTAATCACAACATTTTTTCTTTTGTCAAATCAACTTAAATCATTTACGTAGTTCCGATAACATATTTTGAGTTTCTGATGATTAAATCAATCTCCTTCATTATATTAACACATTTTTTTTTTTCATTTCAATGAACTTAACATTTTGAGGCATCCAGGTTACTTCATTTTTTAAGTTAAACCAACAATATTTTTTTACAGTGATATATATATATATATATATATATATATATATATATATATATATACATGCACATTCAAAACAATGAAGTGCTTTTTTACAATGGTTGACTTTCATTGCATGGATGGTGGAAAAAAGTTTTAAAAATCTTAAAAATATCATGTTTTGTGTTCCGCAGAAGAAAGAAAGCTATACAGGCTTGAAATGACATGAGGGTGAGTAAATGATGACAGAATTTTCATTTTTGGGTGAATTCTGCTTTTAAGGTTTTTTCTTACTGTTCCATATGGCTTTTCTTCGAGATTCCTGTCTGTAGTGCTCCTCAAGAAATTCCAGAATCACCTCCAAATCAGTTTGATATTCCTGCGGACTGTTCTGGTAAGAAATATAGATTTTTTTTCCCATACAAGTGGGCCCCCGAAACATATTTGATTAGATATATTGACATTGATACATTTCACAATGTTTTGGCTCCACTGTACTGTAGAATAAAAACTATACAACAAAACTGTAAAACTTATCAGTTCTTACCATGTTAGTGTTACGGATGTGATCCTTATTGAATGTATTGCTGTTTCAAGTGTTGTAGTATTAATGAATAACCAATAAGTTAAAAAAAAAACAGATTTGTTACTATTAGTGTGCTTTTCAAACAAAACTATCTCGTTGAAATGGCACAGACTGGTTTTTATCAGTAACAAGGCTGGGGGAGTGAACAGGCCTCTCTGGAATGATCTACGACCGTACATAAATAACCATCCATCTTTTGACCCAAAACCACAGTTACTTTTGGCCTAAACACTCACACACACAACCTGATCTCCGTCTAACACACATCTCTAGCATCCTTTATGGAACCAGTAACCACATCCTCTCCACTCTTAGAGATAACAACCACAACCAGCTAACAATGGCACGCAGGCTCCACTTAAAAACACATTCATTTGTGCTGAAATGATCGAGAAATTGGAATTAATGAACAAAATATGAAAGCAACATAGATGAGAGAAATGTAATGGATAAAACTTCAATCATAAAGTCTGAAAGAGCGCAATTGTTAGGAGACAAGTGTTTATTGTCCAGTATGAAAATTATACAGCAGCAGTACATTAGTGTTTGATTGGTGTCTTACAAAGAGGAAGGTGATTTGAGATCAGTTTGTAACATGACACACAAAACAGTCACAAAACTATCTTCTCGCTGTGAAATTAGATAAGCTTGGCCCAATGAATTTGCAAAGAAATCAGCGCAAAGGTTTATACAGCGGCTATACAATGGAGAGTTTAACAAACACACCAAGTTAAATGGCAAACTTTATTTGAGCACAAAAACAATGTACGTAAACAAGTTGAAAAAGGCAGATATAAATATGAAGATAGATTTTTATAGCTGTAGAACAGTAGATAAACAGTACAGTTCTGAAAAGCAAGACTCTTTTAGATACTTGATCGTGTAAGAATGTTATTTAATTGCATACAAAATATCAAAATATCTTTTACTATCTTTTACTTTATTGCAGTTACTGCAATAATTGATGTACTCACTTATTTATGAAGTCACACAGGCGTCCTAACAGAGTAATAATGCATATTTTTCTTCTATTTACTTTAAGAATTTGAATGTTTTTGATAAATAAAAAAGTGTAAAAACAGTAATATTATGAAAAATTACCATTGAACTGTTTTCCATTTCAATATACTTTCAAATGTAATTTATTCCAGTGATGTAAAGCTGAATTTTAAGGATCATTACTCCAGTCTTCAGAGTCGCATGATTTGGCGGTCATTTTCTTATTATTATGAATATTTAAAACAGTTGATATTTTTTTTGTGGAAATACAAAAAAAATACTTTTTTTCAGGATTCTGATGAATAATAGGCTAAAAATGGTTTATAATAATAATTTATGCAGTTCAGATAACATAATATTTTGTGTTTCTGATGATTAAATTAATCTCCTTCATTGTATTAACTCATTTTTTTCCATTTCAATGAACTTAAAATTTTAAGGCAACCAGGTTACTTTAAAGTTAAATAATAGGCTAAAAATGAGCTGCATTTATTTGAAATATAAACTTTATAATTGTCTTTACTGTCACTTTTAATCAATTTAATGCTTCCTTGTTGAATAAAAGTATTAATTTCCTTTAACACAAACAAAAAAAATTCATAGTGACTAAACTTTTGAACATTATGTTCACGTCCTACAACATTTCTAATGCACTAGGAAAACAGCTTTACAATGTCAAGGTTTATTTCAAAGCGTCCCCTATCTTATAATAGACAGAGAGAGTTAAACTTTGAATATATGAAACGTTAGGATTCAGCTCTTTTGAGAAAAACTATACTGAAACGCCTATTTTGGGATCCTCGTGCACTGTCAGCACAGTCGCGAGATCATACTCGGCCTGGTAAGAGTATTGGCCGTACCAGTAATGACAGTCCGGGAGAGGAGAGCTGTAGTACACATGCTCAGCAGAGCCTTGCTGATGAAGGGCCATGTCTCTGGACGCAGGGCCCGAGCCGTAGCCTGACAGTGAGCTCAGTCGCTGCAGTATAGCTGGATTAAACTGATAGGTGAGCTTGCGACGCACCTTCACAATCTCGCCCGTGCGGCTATAGTTGCGGAGAGCGCGCGCCATTTTCTGGTAGGTCATGGTCTTGCGATTGCCCTTTCGTTGACCCCAGCACTCGGCCAGTTTCTCTTTATTTTTCGAGATGAAGTGGAAGATGCCGCTACCTCGGTCCGTCCACTGAATAGAGTCACCCATGTTGTCGTCGTGAAGAGCCTCGTGCAGATATTCATATAACCGCAACTTCTTACGACCTAATGAGGAAAAGCAATGCATTCAGCACTTTTGAATTATGATGAACTCAATTTTGTTGAAAAAATAGGATATTATTTATTAATTAGATCATGATTCCTAAAATCTTTCAGCTGAGTTAACTGCAGTAGGCCTACAGTTATTGCTATTCAGTTAAAAAAACGTCCCTTTAGCATCAGTACATGCTTTCCTACATATTGAATTATCACATTTCTAAACACACAAACAAACTTGTTGTTACGTTGTACCTTTTCCGTGGCGCTGTGGTAAATTTGAGTAAAATACCGGCTCAGCAGAACTCGGTGGCCCCAGACACACATCTGGTACAATGTGAGACCATGCCTGTTGATACAGAGAGAAGCTTTTCTAGTCACAAAACACAAGTATAAGTATCACAACCTAACTGCTAAGTGAAAAATTGTAGGAGTTGTAAACCTACTGAGGATTCATTCCAGTCATACATTGATCCCGGAGGCTCAAAATGAGGTGTGAACTGATAGTAAGAGATGGCGTGTCTCACAGAAGACTGTTGACTTTCCAAATTCTCATAGGATTTATTTTCTGAAAGAGCAAATCAGCAGAGAATGAATGATAATAATAACATGTTTTATTAAGCACATTATGACATTATTGACACTTATATTAATTTGATATTATATTTACATACCCGTGTCGTAGTGCCGTGTCTGAGAGTGACGCTGAATTACATCAATGGCATCTTGAAAATCTTGATTTATGTCATTTTCAAGAGACCCCTGTAAGAAAAAGAGGTACAATTCAGAATTTCCTACATCTTAAATCTGTCTTACCATCAAATATGTAAATAATACATATAATAAATAGCTTATATAGCCTATATATGAAGAGTTCAGATGCAAAAGCCTCTAAATGCCATTTGAAATTTTCTTCTAAAATGACCATTTTTATCAAGCTTGTATATTTAAGTTCAGTAATTTCACTTAAATGACAATTAATAGGTAATCTTCATTGCCATTTAAGTGAAATTACTGAACTTAAATATACAAGCTTGATAAAAATTATCATTCTAGAAGAAAATTTCAAATGGCACTTAGAGGCTTTTGCATCTGAACTCTTCATATGGTATAATACAAGTATTAAATAATGTATGGATCAACACGTTTTAAATAATCAGGCAAATAAACACTACAAAACAATTTATAATCACACTGGTACACACCTGAGTCAAAGAACTCACCATTCTGGCCTTGGAAAACCTAACACTTCATCTATGTAGATCTCTACTGTGTTGAACTGGTAATAGCCTCTATGTCTCAGTGATTATAAGTGGACAGATATATTGACTTCTGTTTCACTGTCCAACTAACCAATGCGGCCTGTTATATACATGGGTCCATTTAAATTTGCCACGTGAACATAACATGGAGCAGTCAATGATACTCTACTTCTCTTTTTGGAAATGAAGACACACAAACTCATAGTCCCTCTATTCTATAATCTCCATATCTCCATCCATGAAAAAAAAAAAAGATAGAGAGAGAGAGAGAAAGAGTGACTAACCACTAGTTTATCCAAAGGATTCCTTCTCCTTTGTGAAAACATTTGCATTTCAGGTTAGAAGCTGTCAACGGCACTGTGGTTTATTGGTCCTGTAAAAAAGTTTTGAGAGACACCAAACAATAACTGCTCTGATAATCACAGCAAGAGAAAACCTGGGGAATGCTGGGAAATTGGGACACTGAAAGAAAACATGGATTTTTAATGTTCTTTTTTCTGTTTTTCTAATAAAAGTTAATACACATTTGCAAAAACTATCATTTCTTACGAAGCAAACAAAGAAAAAAGATAATCATTTCCTTCTTCAATTCAATTCACATTCATATTAGTGCGATTGTCAACTAAAGAGGCATAGAAAGACTTGACAGATTAAAATATTGAGTACACACTTCCAGTACACACTTTGTTTGAGGAAAACGCCAAAATGCAGTCCTATTTTAATACATTTCGTTCTTTTTTTGCTCTAAGCTTGTAAAGCAACAGTTAATTCATTGCACATTGTCATGACACAAGTTTTAAATATCAACTGACTGGCTCCTGAAGTTCCCCTTTCAGGTGTGCAGCGAATGAAAGTAAAGAGGCTAACTGATAAAAGATACAGATACATTTTATGAGACCTCGGTCGACTGAGATTATACCGCTGTGATCTGGTGCATAATCAATATGCTAGAAAAGTGTGCTGTTGAAAAATGTAGAGCCCCACACTGTGTAAACAACTGATAATAGTTAATCAGTTGTACTGTAAATCACCAGGCAAATGATTTCTGCTGTCATTCTGTTATGTTGGTTGTTTGGACACTTAAAATTCATTGAAGCGCTCAACATAAAGTCAAACATTTGAATATGTAATGAATACTGTGCACTGTTTTGTTGGTGAAAGCTGACAGCATGCATGTTGCACCTCCAAAATGAGCACCAACCATGAGTAAAAATGGGCTTTGGAAAGTAACTTTTGTTGATAACTTTATTAGGAGCTACATCAATAAAGACAAATGCTATGAATTAGTCAGACTTTCACTAATGTAGGTTACGTGAGGGATTCAAATCAAAGTAACACAGCATTAGTCTCAATTTGCACATCTTCTAGGATTTCATCTACGAGGATTCCTTTAGAACTACAAAGATGAGGGAAAAGTGTTAAGAAACTACAGTCATGTAGGATGCGCGAGTCCCGCGGTTATGTTGAGAGGTGTAGATAAAGAGGTTTGTGTGATTAATTATCAGTATCTAACCTAACTAAAATTAATTTATTCAATGTTGTCCACATTATATTGCATCTGTAGCAGCATTGTGAACTTTTCTAAATATACGTTACCTTTTAAATCCATCATTATATTCAAATTGCAAACATGAGGAGAGTATCTGCATGAAAGACCCACGACTGGCAGATCAACGTGCTCTCCGAAACGGTAGAAAATCAAATTAGATTGAATGGAGGATTTGAACTGTGACAAGATGATTGACAGGGCAGTTTACGTTGGCAGGATGCACGCAGCACGCAACAGAGCTGTCCGTTAAAGATGACGTGATAGTATGTCCCAAAGCTTTCCTACTCTTTTGCTACACACTCAAAAGTATGTACTTTTTCTTCACAAAAAGAGTACATACCCTTAGGGTGTAGTATAAGTAAGCGAATTGGGACGCAGGGAAGTGTCTTTATGCTTTATTTAGATTATGTCTCTCACAGTGACAGATGACAATTTCAGCCCCCTCCATGATTTCTTAAGTGGGAGAACTTGCAAAATAGCAGGGTGTTCAAATACTTATTTTCCTCAATGTAAATATAATTTAAAGTGCAGTTTCATTTCTGGGAAATATTCTCAAGAAAGTTACATTTGTTCAACTATTTTTTTTTAATTTTTTTTCTGTTGTCAGGGTTTAACTGTTCTGGAACATCTGTGGTAAAGTGTGGAATTGTTTCCTGTCTGCTGTGGATGATAAAAATGTGGGAGACTGTGCTTGAAGGGTATGTAAACCTTTCCTCCACTGTGACTTACAAGTAAGGTAATTCAATTTGCAAGGTAATCTGTTTTGCAGTGTCAATGAGTCCTTTCCCTGTTTTAAATATATTTTTTTATTTGTTATGCAATAATTGAGCACTTAACAATAAAAAAAATGTAAATGATGATTGAATTGATGACTGTACACTTTAAAAATATATATTTTCAAGATTTGTTATCACAACATTTTTTCTTTTGTCAAATCAACTTAAATTATTTATTTAGTTCAGATAACTTATTATTTTGAGTTTCTGATGATTAAATTAATATCCTTCATTGTATTAAGTCACTTTTTCCTCCTGTTCTATCAACTTAAAATTTTAAGGTTTCTTAATTTTTTAAGTTAAACCAACAATATTTTTGTACAGTGTAGTTATAAAAAAAGAATCTACAACAAAAATTAAACTATGTTTTGGATTGTTCTCTCTCTCTTTCTCTCTCTCTCTAAATGTTTCTGGGAATTTGTCCAATGGTTTATGAATTTATGTATGCATCTCACGCCTGCCGAAGTATTTACATTTTCTGGTAAAGCAGTAGCGAGGGCTTTATCTTTTTCAAACAAAGAGCTGCTTTCCTTCCCCTTCTCTTCAAACCCTATTCAAAAGGACCATTAATACCAAACCCAATGAGGGAAGGGCAGTGTAACCACAACATAGCTCCTATTCAACTTCTTTATTTACTGCTAGTCACCCAATCAAAATAAGTTCCCAAAGTGCCTGCACAGGTAAATAGATCACTCAAGCTGTCTGATGAAGTAAGCCCATAACATGGCTTACCAATTCTGGGGAAGAAAACAATACTGCTGAAACTGTTCTTGTTAAGCCTGTTTGCTATATATATATATATATATATATATATATATATAATGGCAGACTTTTGTGGGCAAACCTTTTGTACTCTTGTATTCGAATATACAGGTTTTTTTTTAATTATTTGTTTTGGTTACAAAAGTAAAGTTGTTCTATTCCTTTCAACTTTAAGAGCAGCTAAAACATTTGTATTTATTGTTATTGATTAGTTGTTTAGATTACAAAAGCATATCAGCTAAAATATGTAATATACTGTGCTTTAAAATGTTTGCCGATGATATTATAATAAGCTTTTTCCCATCAACTGCCACAGAATTCCAGAACAAGAACACACCCAATTATCTGACAATTTTTTTTTCCTGTTGGGGTTTTTTCCAGTTCCTTGTTTTTTTTTTTTTTTTTCCAGGCTTGACAATAAACAGCATATTTAATTTCATACAGTCTGTCGTCCCATGTCCCTTAAACTGAACACCATTGTGAGAAGTCATAATCACCTAAGGGTATATCTATGCTGCAAAACCTGATAAATATGCATCTTGTAAGCAAATATTGAGTTTGGTGCCATAATATATACTGTCTTTTTCATATTTCAGACACTTCCTTAATTGTGCTGTGTTGAGGGGTCCCAAGTGCAGAATTGAACAAAGCTACAATAACCCAGTCTGTTCTTCAGATGTTGTTGTGCATCTGAACCTGTGCTTGAAGGACTAATGTGAGTGATTTATAACTTGTTTAATTGCTGAATTTTCATTCTAAAATAACCTTGTGTTAATAATATCCTGTTCCACTGTTGATTGTTGACATCTGTTTCTTGTTTTCCAAATTTGTAAATAAATACCTCATCTGTTCTTTTGTCAGTGGCATCTTAAGGAGTCTTCCTGATAAGGTACTTCCTGATATCCCATCACACTGCTGTTGAATTCACTACATTGTCTGCAGCATAATCTTTTGAAGGTACAATTTCCCCATAAATTTTGTAAAATGAAGGAAACATTTTTCAAATACTGAACTATTTCTTGGTCACTAATGAAATAAGCACATGTGTGACTCATTATGATGATCAGATGTCCTTCCGATTATGCTTTTTGGATCATTTCAAATCATGATGCAAAAGAGGGAAAACTGAGACAAATATGAGCATTGTAACAAGTTTTCTGGACTGCGTTGTATTAGCATTTGGAACATTGTCCTGCATATGCACAGTGTTGGGAAAGCTCACTTTCTACATGAACTAGTTCACAAATTTTAAAATTAACCAGTTCAGTTCATAGTTCATACTTTCATTTTTCATACTTTTTTCCATATATTGCTCCAAGCTATTTTTTTTTTTTTACAAATTTTACAATATACAACCACAGACAGCAATTATTGTATCGGTGGGTAAAAAGTTTGCACAGAAATGTATGATTTTTTTTCCCATCTTGACTGACCTTGACATAAAACTGGTTTAAATGATCATAGTACGACGCCTCTTCGATGCTCTGTCGACTACATGCTGCTTTTTGTTTTGAGGACACATGCGGCGGCCGCGGTGCGACACTGGTGGCTTGTGTTGCTAGATTGGGTGTTTTTTTTCCGCTACATATTAAGGCCTATTTACGGTGTGTTTTAGCCTGGTTTTTCTCTATAGAAATCTTGCACACAAATTTTCTAAAACATTTGCTTCAAATCAAAGTTTGTAGTGTTATGATTCACCTTGTAGCTGATTGTCTTGGTCCTTTGCTTTTAAAGGTGGGGTAGGTAGAATTTTTCTAAAAAACTTTTTTTCCCAAATTTGTTTAAACTGTCTATGTACCAATACATAATTAAAATGAAAGTATTTTGAAAAAGAAAGTATACAAATCGAGTGTCTGTAGTCCTCTCATTTTTTCCAACCGGGACGAAAGAAATGATTGGCTTGGCGACTGTCACTCTCCCTCGGTACCATGGCGACCAGCACTGCTGCATAAGAGCAGCCCACATGCGCACACGTTTGCTTGAGTAGTGGAAGAAGCACTGAAGCTAGGAAGAATGACAATTATGGCAAAGAAAGAGCAGTCAAAATTCCCAGTTACCTGCATATACAGTCAGCAAAGGAAAATCAGTCTATTAATAATGATGATAAAGTTAGGCATTTTATTACATTTAATTGCTGAGAGCGGTTGGCAGCGCTCATGTGTTTTGGGGGCGTGGCTTTGTAAGGATCCCAGATGGGAGGGGGTGGGAGTGAATGAAATAATGAGCTGTGTTTATTGCAACACTGAGAGGACTACTGACACTCAATTTGTATACTTTCTTTTTCAGAGTACTTACATTTTAATTATGTATTAGTATAGACAGTTTAAACAAATTTGCGAAAAAGTAGTTTTTTTTTTTTTAGGAAATTTCTACCTACTCCACCTTTAACTGACTTTTTTACAATCCCTATGGGGGAAATGAATTCAAAATGTACTATTACACTTTATTTTCATGACCATCAACAACAAAAAAAACCCCAAAAACTTCTGCAACTTTAAGTAAATCTGCAACTTGTCAAATGAACTAAATTGAACTAAAAATGTCAACTCACTTTCGGGTTAAAATAATTCGCTGACGTACTTGCAAAGTTACTTGTCAGTAGAATGTCTAAAGTGGACCATCAAAATAATGTGTTACGAAAAATACTGAAAAAGTGGACGGGCACTGTTGTACTCTATAATGGATCAAAAGTTCCATTTCATGCGGTATCTAAGCATGTGTTTGCTTGAATTATATATTATTTTATAAGCCTTTTTTTTTTTTGGCTTTAACACAGTGAAATAGTAGACAACCCGAGTATGGTTGTTAATATTGCTGTTCATTCTGACAGTTCACAAAGCTTGATGAGGTAATTGTTTATTGGAAATACAAGCATTCAGATTAAACTACTGAGAGATGGGTTATGCTGCTATGGCTAAAATGTTTGGACAGCCAAATAAATATATCCACATTTACAGAACTACCTGTACAAGGAGTGTACAATTTTTTTTTCAATTGTTATTTATATGAAAATGAATGATTGTACATGGCGTTTTGTACAACTGCCTCAGGTAGTTGCTCAAACCTTCCTATTAACATGGAAATTTAACATGATAGCAAAGCGAGAAACAGTAACCGTTTTTTTAAGCACAGCTTTTCATTTGATCATATGGCTGCTTTTTTTTTTTTTTTTTTTTTCAGGAAATCCCTACAGCTAACAGGATCCTCCCTCTATTAGGAAGATTTGAATAATTATTGCACATGTAAGGGACTTCCCCCTCTAAAGAGCCACTTGCTCTGGTGTCATGTTAGCCAAGATGGAAGATATACAAATTATGTAAACAAAGGACATGCCCACTTTAAATGTTTTCTAGTGATCACGTATTTTGTGTCAAACAGCTTCAAGGTTCTAGGATCTTCAGAAATAAGTTAAAACAGGCTGAAAATCACAAATAAGACATGCAGCGGCACTTCATGGTAAACACAATTGTGTTTTAAAGCCTCAGATTTAAACGTGGAAGCCTTTTACCGTGAGATATACTTCAAGACCCTAAATCTTGACTTCATAACAAAAGAACAGAAAGACCCTTTAAGTTTATAAATGCCAAAATAAAACATATACTTAAAGGGCCAAAAATAAATGATGAAATAATACATGTTCATGTAAATATACTAAAATTGTAAGAATACCTGGTCAGGTCGCCATGTGTTTATGTTGAAAACTGTTGATGACATTATGAATATGTTGTGAATGGTGCATTTTGTATAAAGTCAGATTTAGGATCCCTGAACTGAGGATGTTTGGTCCAGTAATGTGTGATTCTTGCATAAGGTCATCAGTACTGATCCAAAACATTTCAATGAAGACAACTGGAAGACATTTCCACGTGCACATTAACTCAAGAGCAGTCGGTGAATGTTGTGACCATGTTACCCTTTCGCTGTGTGACAGTCCTACAGTGCTGCCTGCTGGATCTGTGAAACCTGTTTTCAGTCTGAGTCTGGTGTCCATTAAAAGAGAACATCCTCTCCATATTCTCAAACACATCATCAAACATGTCACTGCCGAAAGAGTTCTGGAAGTGCCTCCTGTGTGCTTCTTCGTGGGCCTGAAAGTGGCTCTCGAAATGTCTTTTATTGTGCACGTGAGGGTTGTGTCCATGCATGTGAGAGTCTCTGAATATATCGTCAAAGTTGAAGCTAAAATGTTGACGGAAGTGGTCCCCGCCTCCTCTCGGGCCCTCCCTGGAGAACGGACGGCTCCTTGTCTGGTCGTACTCCTTCCTCCGGTTGTCATCTGATAATGTTTCATATGCTGGGAATGGAAAAATATGAAGCTTTAACAACTGATCTACACTTATAATGTTCAGAAAAGCGATTTGAATGGGTGTGTTGACTCACCCTCAGCAATCTCTCTGAACTTTGCCTCTGCATCAGGGCTTTTGTTTTTATCAGGGTGATACCGCATGGCTAGTTTATGGAAGGCTTTTTTGATCTGGCGATCAGATGCATCTTTGGGTACACCCAGGATCTCGTAGTAATCTTTCTCGGCCAGAATCAGCTCTGCGATGAGCAGAATGCTCACAGCCACAGAGAACACTGACTGAGCTGTTGCCATGTCTGTGGTCAAAACTGTCAACAGGAAATAAGAGTCAAGATCACAGTTCATTTGCTTTTGTTTTTTTTTTTTGTCAAGAGAAAATTCACAGTAGTACATAAGTGTCTATGTAATAATGTTTATTAATATATGTATGAGAATATTTAGAATTTATTTAGGCCCTATGTATTAGATAGATAGATAGATAGATAGATAGATAGATAGATAGATAGATAGATAGATAGATAGATAGATAGATAGATAGATAGATAGATAGATAGATAGATAGCACTGTCTGTAAAACATACATGCTATATATTTTCTTAAAAAGGGCTTCACATAAAATATAATTTGCTATTTATTTCTTGTGTTTTTATGCCCTGTAGTCGTTCTTGACAGGTTGATACTGGGTTACAAGTTCGTTATTCTTAAAGAAATACTTGCAATAGGACATACATATCATTATTATCTGAGCAGTATAATATTAAGAATATTAACGATTTAAGAAATCTGCTGGTTTAACTTACCTGATGGTCTCTGTCCCAAAGTTACATCAAACAGAACAGCTGACGCTTTTTCTGAGCTCTCTTGACAGCGCTGAAGTTACTGTACCACGATTCGCAACGCGATTGGTCGATTCCCGGGATGAATGACTACAAGCGTTTCGATTGATCCAGATCGGGGAGCACATTCAGAGCGTCAGTTCCTGTTTCTATAGCAGGATTCTGGTCAGTGTGCCACTGCCACGCTAGTGTACTCTGTGCTATCAAACTTTGGAAGAACCTGGGAGGAACGGAGGACCGCCTTAAAATAACTATATATATATATATATATATATATAGAGAGAGAGAGAGAGAGAGAGAGAGAGAGAGAGAGAGAGAGAGAGAGAGAGAGATAGATAGATAGATAGATAGATAGATAGATAGATAGATAGATAGATAGATAGATTGCACTGTCTCTAAAACATGTTTATGTTTACATATGTTACATATCTATATGTAATATAATAAGAGTATATACAGTATGCACTCTTATTCTTAATTTAACACTGTGACTAAAGATCATCATGTCTGTGAAGCAGGAGTTTAAGGAAAAGTAGTAAGAATAAAAGCTTTAGCATAGCCTATATGTATCACTTTAGTATTTTTTTTAATTTATCATAATTGTTTTTAGTAAGGTTTTGATACGTATTTTGTTACAATGTTTAAAAAGATGCAATATTTTAGTTGGCGGTGTCATGGAACTTATTTCGGAAGATCCTACATTGAAGCTGTTTGAGACATGTAGGCCTACGTGATCACTAGAAAACATTTAAAGTGGTCACGTCCTTTGGGAGACCGGGTATGGTTGTAACACGGGGAGAGTTGTAACACCACCATTTCTGCCACTTAGGGAGAAGATAGGAGTTGTGTGATAGTTTCATTCCCTGATACTGCATGGTAGTTGTCAAGTTTGGAAACCAACACATTCTGAATTTATAGTGAAAAATCTGATTTTTAGGTAAGAAAGTAATTTTTTTTGACGAAGACTATTTTTGTCTAGTATCTAAACTATTGCAGATAAAATAGTTTTAATTACATTATATTATGAATAAATGGAGGTTGGAGCAGGCTTCACTCAAAGTTTATATCTCAAATTGTTTTAAGAGTGCTGGCCTAATAATGACAATTCATGTATGGACGAGAGAGGCCGCACTTTGCATATACAGTAATATTATGCAATAATAAAACTGTATATGCAAAGTGCGGCCTCTCTCGTCCATACATGAATTACATTATATTAAAATGTAGTTTCTTAGCAACATGTGAGACAGGGGTGGGGTGGGTTATAACACTTCTTGAAAAAGTTAATCAGACAGTCTGAGGGAGTGAGACTGTTCTTTTATGTCAATAAACCTGTTTTTGAAGCATATCGTATCATTAAATATTGAGAATAAAGTTGTGTTTCAAGAAAAAACTTGTTAAATTTCGCCAATTTCATAAATTTGTTTTAATTTGTTTTATGGCTTGGCATTTATAATAAATATTGTTTATTTATTTTTTCTCAACACTGCAATTTTGTCCCGATGCTACTTATTTTCCAGAAAATACAGTAATTAAACCATACAAATTTAAAATTACACACATATACAGTATGGCATCCATTTTAGCTTCTTTTGTGTAATTGTTACAACTTACCCCAGTATGTGTTACAACCTACCCCCATATATTTGAATATGTAATAAATATATACAAAAATATCAGTCTAAGCCTCAGTACATTTAGGCTCCCTCGTGACAAACTGCAAGTTAATTATTTCTGAAAACAATTTGTCCTCATGCACAAATAAAGCCTATTTAAAGGGGTTTATATTGTTTTGTGGCTTCAGAGAAGTGTGAGGACATGAAATGGATTTAATAAAACCTGTCTTTCTTTTCATGCATTAGTGGCCACATGGTGTCAGTGTGGCAGAGGTCATGCCATCATTATAGAAGTGATGTTCATTCACATACTAAAGGGAGCTTAAAAATAGTTATTCATTTTGTGTATGGCTGTGACACAGTAATTAACATGGTTTTGAATGGCAAAAGGTAGCGTTATGTCATTAGGTGCCTTAGAAAAGCACTTCAGCTGAGCACAAAAGAAAATATTTTAAAGAATATTTTTAGCTGTTTTTGTGCATCCCTGTGAGCAGGATCGTTTTGACAACAGAGACATCAGTAGGCTACGCAATGGCAAAGGTTTTAGTAGCCTACAGCGTTGTCATGTAAACGTACTCTTAAAAACATATGAAATAACATAACCCTTACAGTTTCATAGCCGATGGTCTTTTTGTGTACTATGATGTCTATTCAATTTTCCACCGTTTTTTATCTGCCTCTAAATATGCTCTAATCCCATTTCCCAACGGCTACCTTGGATACAGGTGCCTTAGGCTTTCATTTTGCCTTTAATCCAAAGAGTGTTTGTGCAATAAAAGGCTAACCAAATTTTGTTGTGTTGTTCGGTAGTTATAAGGTCTACACTCTAAAAAACGATTCGTTGGCCGAACAACCATTACTTATAAAAGTAATTGGATCAAACATAAAAAATTAAGTATTCATAACTTTTCAACGTTTACTTAACATATATAGTGTGTGTAACACAAAAATATAAGTTACTAGGTGCACTTAAATGTATGTATAAATAATATGAAAAATACATAAGGCATGTCAACTTGCGTCAAAATTAAGTAAATCTAGCATATCATTTTAAGTACTATATGAGCCACGTGATATGCAATTTCCCGTGATGCCTATCCAGACAAAAAATTTAAGCCATTTTATTTCACAGCACATGTGAAGACATTGAGAAGAGGTAAGCTTATTTTTTGTACTTAGGCCTACACATGATCATTTATTGCATTTTTGGTCAAGAAATTTACTTTTAACTGAATTTCAGAATTGCTACAAATTTTGCATCAACAATTAGAAACGTGTTACTTACGAATGTAAACGTTTGTAGTCTACATGTTAATGAATGAAATAAGTGTTTTGCACGCGAGTATTTGAAGAGTATATTGTGTTTTTTCAAAATAAATGACCATGATGTTGGCTTATGCATTAATGGTGTGTTCACACAGAACGTGAATTTAATTATTTGCGATAGCAGATTACATTCATAGTCAATGCAAAGACGCGAAGACGCATCATTCGCGCCGGGCGTCGCGAATTGGGTGACTCGTTTGCCGCGAACGTCTTCCTCGTATCGGTAGAAAAATTTGAACTTGAGCGGGCTGCGGAAGATTCAAGCGCCTAACTAGACGCGACGTGTTTGACCGTTCGGTTACCAATTCGGACGGCGCTTTCTCCCCCACGGATAGCCTATTATAGGCCTACTTTATTAGCGAGTTGTTTTTGGATAAAACAAATGTACCTTGCATATTCCCATATTCTCTATCTATCGTGGGGAAGGGGGCTTTGGGCGCGGGTTAGCCTACTTTTGGTAACGTTAACATAAATATTACATTCAAAAACACATTGCCTACAGCTCCGTGTGCACAATTTTTATCATTAAATAATGGCAATCTTGATTCTAGCACAATATTATTCCTAAATGACAGCGACATTCAGTAAATTAAACCTTCAAAATTATTATCAAAATAAGTAAATACCCTTTAAACAAAAGTTTAGCTTCAAATAAAGATTGTAGATCTTTACTTTTTTGCAGTTACTGAAGAGATTCGTTCAAAACCTCTGGACAAAAGTCATTAATTAACTTCTGTTTTGTTTAAATTAATAGATATTAATAGACAAAATTTTATATTTATAGGCATTTAATAATGGACTAATTTGTTACATTTAATTGTTTTTTATTGATTTTTGAAAAAAATAAATATATAGGCCTGCCCACCAAGCCTTCATTTCTTTGATCCAAGAAAAAACTGTAATATTGTGACTATTATTATTATTATTTTAACAACTATTTTCTATTTTAATATATTTTAAGATGCAATTTAAAAGTTTTGGGTAAAAAATAAATAATAAAGTGAAATGCTTTATTGTGTGTGATTTGCATGTTTAATTTATTTTAAGACATGTAAGCTGAAGATCTAAAATAAGTTAAAATGGTTGGTTCAACTGATTTAATTGTCTTATTTTTATATATAAATGAGCTTAAATGTTAAGTAAACAGAACTAAGATTTGTTTTGATCTCACATGGCCTGCACTGTGTTGGATTTACTTAAAAGATATATGCACCATTTTTGCGTCATACTTTTTAAGTAATCCGTAATCATTTAATTAAGTAAATTTTTAACTTGGAATAATTTTACATAAAATAAACTTAAATATTTGAGTTCACGTGACATTCTTTACTTAAAAATATATGTAACGTGATGCATACATTTTTAAGTAAAGAATGTTGCGTGAACTCAAATAATTAAGTACATATAACAAAGATTTTCTTGTTAATTTTAAGTAAAATTATTCCAAGTTGGGATTACTTAAAAAGTATGATGCAAAAATGGTGCATATATATTTTAAGTAAATCCAACACATCATTTTTTAGAGTGTAGATACTTTTTGGCATGCTTTTACAATCATAAGCACATATCAAGACCCTTCAATTAATTAATTTACCTCATTGTTTTTCAAATGAAAGTTGAAGTTTTGGTGCATAAATGGGATTTTTTCTTTTTTAAATATGTATAAGTGCACAATTATGGCCCTGACTCATTAAAATAGGGCAATTAATCGTGATTAATCGCATCCAAAATAAAAGTCTGTGTTTACATAATATGTGTGGGTGCACTGTGTAAAATTATATATATATATATATATATATATATATATATAAAAATACACACACATGCATGTAGCCTATATTTAAGAAAAAAAAATATTTATATATAAAATATTTATATTTAAATATAATATAAATTACATATAAATCTGTATATACATGAAAATATTTCTGAAATATATACAAGCATGGTGTGTTCATTTATATATATAAAATAATTATACACAGTGCACCCACATATATTATGTAAACACAAACTTTTATTTTGGATGCGATTAATCGCGATTAATCGTTTGACAGCCCTAATACAAATACATATTTTTTGGAATAATTAAACCCATAAGAGATTTCTCATTCAAAGGATGGTCTGCTTTTATACTCCAAATGTGTGAGGAACTATATTAGGTGTATTAAATATTAAAAATTGCTCTATTATTTATGGGAACAGAAGTGAATTCCTGGAGGGAAATATGATTATGAAACTGATCGCTGAAAATCTTGACTGATGTTTATATGAATCTGGGTTTCTCTGTGAAGGAACATTCCCATTTCATTTAGCTTTATTTATAGGGATTCAAGCGGATTTTAAAATGTGTGAAGTGACTTTCACAGAAAACAAGCTTTGCATTACAAAGAAATTTGTGTGCATGAAAATAAGAGGTCATCACAGTGACAATGGAAACCGTCACACATTTTTTTTTTTTTATCACAAGCTCCTTTGCATTTTTGTTTGAATGAGGAATGTAAAACAATTAAATGAATTGCATTGACCAAAAGCCAATCTCTAATTGGTAGGGTCATACACAATGTTTAAAAAATGAAACAAAAGACATGCAAAACGTGACCAAGTCTATACAATAAAAGACAATATGCTGCTCAGTTGCCTGCATAATGCATCCTAGGAAATAATTACAGTACCTTGCTTTTCTTTAAAAAGGAGCCATTGTTTCTTGATACAAGACTTAATGATGTCAGTGAGTGCAGAAAGGCCTGTATTAAATGTAAATCATAGTGAATATATACAGTTACATTTGACGGCTTAGTGAAAAAAAAATGAAAAGAGAACAGGTCTCCTTCATTTTCATTAGCAGTACAAATGGTAGATTTTTTTTTACAAATTGAAACAAAATGACCATGCCAAATTACACAAGAACTTTCCATCGCCAAAATCACTTCCCTTATTAAAAAATGGGGCCATATTCATGCAGTGTTCAGCAGCAAGACCTTGTTGTCTGTGCGGTTCTAGCTGTAGTACAGGTAGATCCATGGGTTTGTGCAGCTGTTAAGACTGGCGAGGAGCATGATAGTGACAAACACTGGCCCTGTAGAACAGAAATGAGATAAAGAATCACAGATACAAATAACAAAATGCACCTAAGTGTTCAAACGTGGAACTTTTCTGTGCAAAAAATATTAGCTGTGTGCACCATCTGGTGTCTGCAGGCAACCAAAACGTAATGCAGTTTAATCTGATCGTGTCCTTTGTGGGCCAGTGAATGGTTTAACTAATGGCTATGCATCTTGTAGATCTGCAGCTGTGGGGAAATTGATTGTTATTGCAACAGAATTATATGCTCATATGATGGCTCATATACATTAATGGTCATTTAGTCACATCTGTTATCATAGCTTTGTTGTTATACTGTGAAATGCATATTTGTTTCATTTGTATTTTATTCAACATATTCATTTCCATTAAATTGTAACATTATTTACATCAAATCTATTAGAAAAAAAGTCAAAAACGGGTAGAAGTATTGACAAATAAAATATTGTAAAATACTTTATGATAATATTTAAAAGCCATTTAAGATGCTGCACTCTTTAGGCGGGTCAGATGTGCGTCACTGACGTTCAAGATGCTCTTTGGATCATCTCAAATCAAACTTAGTTTATGCTACTGTAATTTTAATAATTAGTCATCTTGTTGTTTTTTCAATGCGACTCACTGTTATGTTATTTTTTTGTATCGAAAAATGCTGTATTAAATCATATAAATGTAAAATGGAAGCATCTCAGAGTGACTTTTGGACAGCTTTGACTTACCTTGTGTGGGTGCACTGCTTGGACTCCAAGCTGACCAGAGCTGGACCACGAAGAATGGGCTCCAGCAGAGGGTGTACACCAGGATGATAATAAAAGTCATTTTGACAGTCTTCAGCATTGCGCTTGATATCCCTTTAGTGCTGGAGCGCCCATCACCTGTGCTGCCCTGCAAGGCTTTCCTCTTCATGTTGAAATAGATCCCTGCGCTTATCTTTATCTGACAATACATCAAGATTACGGCTGGTAGGACAAACACGGATAAAGTGATCCACGTTATGTATATTTTGCTGCCCCAGGGCTCAATAAATGTCGCCCAGCAGTCGAAAACGTCTTTCTCAACTTCTTGGAGAGAGAAGATGAACATCTGCGGAGCGCTGAACGCCAGTGAGATGAGCCAGGCGGCGCTTATGGCAACATACCTGCGGAAAGACCCCCTGAAGAACGACACCATGGGTTTGCAGACCGCGTGATAGCGATCTATGGTCATGGCCACGATCATATACGTGGACGCAAACATCCCGACCACTTGAAGATATTTAACTGATCTGCACACCAGATCGGAGCCTTTGAACCGGTGCGTAATCTCCATGGATAACTGCGGCAGGACTTGGAAGAAAGCGACAACCAGGTCAGCCAGGCACAGGTGCAGAAGAAACAGCTGCGTTCGGGTGTGTCTTTTGCGTCTTTTCCAGAGGGCATGGAGGAGGAATAAGTTGCTAATTGTTGCCAGCACGAAAATGGACCCAAGAACTGCAGCTTTCACGAGCGCAAAGTGTCCATCGGATAAACTAAACGCCTCGTGCGCACTGGAGACGTTACCGCTGCTGCAATTAAGGTTATCAGCCATTGTTAATTTAATCCTTCCTACCTTAGTACCTGACTAGTTCATTTGTAATGTTTCGGGCGTTTGACTCCTGCAGGTGTTGAGCAATGACGCAAACGCGGCGCGGTGCGCTATGGCACAAATTGGTCAAGACTCCAACACGACCTGTGTTCACGCATGCACGTCAGGCATTTAGTCATACATCAAATAATGGGTTAAATAAAAATTTGAAATAATAATTCAACTCCCCCCCCCCCCCCCCCCCACACACACACACACATTGAAAATTGTCAGTAAAGGTTGTATTCTTGCGTATACATTTTCATCCTTTCGAATTATGCAGTTTTAACATGCATTTAATGTGATGTAGGCCTATTTGTATGTCATAACCGACATTTTCCCTCCTCCACGCAACGGCGTTGCGAACCACACCCACTCATTAACATATAATTTGCATACAGGTTGTCTTTGAAAATGAAAACGAAAATCAAAACTGTGAAATAAAAGAGGAAATAAAATGATTAAAATTTAAAACTAAACTTTACATTTGAATTTGATTTCTGTCACTATTATAGCGTGAATGTTAATAAAAAAGCTTTGTGAAAACTGTATTTGCAGTTTCTTTTCACTTTTGCCTTTTCATTTTAATATTGGCAGTCTTGTCTCGAGATTGTAGTGAAAATGAAACGTGAAATCACCAATTGCATTTTATTTTTCAATTTGACAGGGATGATGCACTATCACCATGAAAATGAAAATGAAAATGAAATCATTTAATTTCATTATCAATTTTGTCACATATTCTGCGTACCATTTTCTGTAATGAAATGGTTAAACTTGTTTTATTTTTACTTTTTATCGTTTAATTTATTTATTTAATTTCGGCAGAAAATGCCTTGACAAATGCTTTAAAAAGGTGATTTAACATGTGCCTTTAAAATCACTTATTTAAGTATGTTTTTATTGTTTTATTAATCTACGTTTTAAAACATGAATTAAATAAACAATTTTAAATGTGTCTATTTATTTATACATTTAATTTTGATTTATTTATTTACTGTTTTATGGTTTTATTGTATGGAAGGCATTTTCTGCCGAAATTAAATAAATAAATTAAACGATAAAAATTAAAAATAAAACAAGTTTAACCATTTCATTACAGAAAATGGTACGCAGAATATGTGACAAAATTGATAATGAAATTAAATGATTTCATTTTCATGGTGATAGTGCATCATCCCTGTCAAATTGAAAAATAAAATGCAATTGGTGATTTCACGTTTCATTTTCACTACAATCTCGAGACAAGACTGCCAATATTAAAATGAAAAGGCAAAAGTGAAAAGAAACTGCAAATACAGTTTTCACAAAGCTTTTTTATTAACATTCACGCTATAATAGTGACAGAAATCAAATTCAAATGTAAAGTTTAGTTTTTAGTTTAGTTTTAATTTTAGTTTAAATTTTAATCATTTTATTTCCTCTTTTATTTCACAGTTTTGATTTTCGTTTTCATTTTCAAAGACAACCTGTATGCAAATTATATGTTAATGAGCGGGTGGGGCTTATTCTAGGAACGGGGCTACAGACACGCCTTCCTTTAAGCGACGTCGTCGACGCCTTGTGTGTGAATGAGGGTGAAAGCAGAGGTGAAAGTGTGATTATGAGAAGTTATTGTTATTGAAAGTCATGGCGAAATCTGTCAGTCAGCTTTTGCGGGAAGCTGTTGCAGCATTGGAACGTGAGGAGAACAACACAAACAGTGTCCAGCAAGTGTCAAACCCTCGGCCCTCTGCAGTTCCTCAGCCTCAGCCAGAGTCGCGGGCATCTTCAGTTGCCAGAGAAACTGTTCAGCGTAAGTAAGCCATGTTATGATGTTAGATTAGACCATAATCGACGAGGTTCAGTCATGTATCAGTCTATTTTGTGACGTCAACCCATTGGGTATACTAAAATCTTAGTAACACAATTCTACAACAATTATAGCCAGGCATTATCTCACGCTATGGCTAAGTTATGCCGATAGATAACGTAATCTAGCTGTTACCGAGGACCGCACTGGACCTTGGCAAATGTTTCATATTTTAATAAATATTTGAAACTATATAAAACTGAATAAAAATCAGCTTTGGAAAACGTCTGCTTGAGTGTCTGCGTGTGTAATTCAGTTTAGACAGTTGCCTAGATCTGTTGCCTAGATGTCCGCTGTGAGTGTGTCTGAAATGCCCCTCCCCCCACACACAAAACATTTTCATTATTTTATATTTCAATTCCAGAAAGTAAAAATCAGCATTGTGATTCTTTTTGTACACAGTACAAACTTAAACTAACCAAAAAGACACATTAACAGTGGGCAGATTATTTTTATTGGCAGCATACTGCATTCAGTTTTATGATTTAATTTATATTCATGTATAGATTGGTTTGCATGGTAGGTTTAATTATGGTAAAATTCTTAACAACCCAGACCTTGCTAATTTTAAAACTGGGGTTATATGTGGAATGGGTGTTTAAACAGCCAGGACTATGATCAAACTTATTTTATAACCCCGCTTTTCATGTCTCCACAGGTGAGGTATCAAGACTTTTTTCTCCATACCCGCAGAGCAGTTCTTTGTCCTCTGGAATGCGCAGACGACAGGCTTTAATAAAGCCATACACCAAAAAGACTTACACTCACAAATTTTTCTGTTTGAGTGGACGACGTGATTGCAAAGTACCACAGCTGTGGGAAAAGATGGATCTCGAATGTTCAGGGTTGGGAGAAAAAAAGATAGTTTTCCCAGGTACACACACACACGCTTTGTATGGAACAATTTTAGTGCTTCAAGTTACCTGAAATAAATGTGTCTTTTTTTTTTTGTCTAAATATTTCAGGTAACATGGGTGTCATTTTTGTAATTAGGTGTTCTCTGGGAAAAAATTGGATAGATTTTCTCATGATTTGTGTTTAAGTGACTATTTCTGTTGCAGATAAGCACTGCACATCTGAAGAATTCAAGTCCACATTGCTTATGGAGTTTCCAAAACTGAAAGATGGTGGGGGGTTTGAATTGCTCAGACCATATGGTGCTACAAGGACAAAAACTTTGCAAGTCGTCCCCTGTCCATCAGAAGGGTATACACCGCATTATCTTCAAGACACTATTGGTATACATGCAGCAATTGTGTATGTAAGGCCTCTTCAGAAAGACCTTGACATGGTATGTAATCATAAAGGCCACAAGCATGCAGTAAATGAGTTTTGAAAATGGAGGTGACAGTTTTTCCACTGCTTGTTTTAAGGAATCGTGTGAACCTAAATGTGGTTCTGGGCCCCCTGTACAGTGCATTTACTGTGAAGAAACATTTAGTCATGCTGAAATCCAAGACCATGTGGACAAATGTATCTTGTGAGTAAATGATGACCTATGGAATTTAAGATATTGGTACCACTATGTTTCAGTAAGCTGGTGTGAAAGTGTGCATAATGTATAGTACTATATAAATGAAAAAATGATTTAAAGAGCCCCTATCATAGCATTTGAAATGTTCCTTTTTTTTGTTTTAGGAGTTCCCAAAAACAGTTTAACATGCATGCAAGGATAAAAAAACGCTTTATTTGTCTTATAATATGCATTTATTTTTTACTGATTTGCTCACCGACTCCCAAATGATTCGTACAACGACTCATTTTTCCAAACCACTCCTTTGCGTCACACTAATCGGCGGTGATTGGTCAGATGACAGACCCAGTCAGTTATTGTTTGTTGGCATAATGGATAAACATATTGATAAAGCACTGCAGTACACTTTCAGATATAAATCTTTGCAGGATGTTTTCATTCCCTTAGAGCTATATTCCACACCATATGAACAGTCATTTTCAAAAATCCATGATAGGGGCTCTTTAAGTTATTTTGAAAATGTTTTCTTGATTCTTGTGTTTAGCAACACATGTTGTCTACATGTTGTCAGAGCATTTTATGCTCTTTTTTATATAACAGAATTTTTTTTCAAAAAAAATAGGTCAGCAAAAGAGAAGAGCGTAGAAAGAGGTGAAAACAGCAGAGGTCAAAACTGTTACAGGCAGGAGATCATTGACCTTGAAGACAGTGACAAGGTTTTAGAAGAGACCTGTAGCAGCAGACAGGAGAATGATGAGCAGGTTACAGAAAGGAGTCATAGCAGCAGAGAGCAGCGTCATGATCTGGCTTTTGAAGGGACGAGTAGCAGGAGACTAGATAGCGGAGATTTGAAATTCAGCAGTGAGGATACTGAAGGTCTTTTTATGAACATAAATCTGGCAACTCACAAATTAACATTTTATTTGTATTATCATTTGTATGTCATATTATTTGATACTACAGATATATCTATATGCTCATTTTTGCAGACTGGAGAACTGAGACTGATTTGAACCGTGCTGCTTACATATTTAGACGTTTTGTACTGCAAGAAGTGGAGGATCAGCCAGATCTTGTGGCAAAGATGGATCTACGCAAAAGTCCAGAAGAGAGAGAGAGAGAAATCCTGACATTTTACAAAAATTCCATGACTAACTGGGCCCATCCATTGTGTGTTTTACTTGGAGGTAAGGTTTAATTTAGCGAAAAACTACACAATGGTTTCAACCATTTACTCACCCTCATGTAATTTTAAATAAGTATAATTTATAAATAAGTATTGGACCAAAAAAATTAATTTTAGAAACAGTCAATTCCATTAAAGAAAAAGTCATATATGTTTTGAAGAATATGAGGGTGAGTTAATTATGATGGGATTTTAATTTCTGTGTGAAGTATTCCTTTCCTTTGTTTTACATAAATATAACTACACAGTTGGCTGTGTAATATTTCTGTTATACACAGGTGATTCTGCCTTTGGAGATGGGGTAAAACGCCATTTTCTCTCCTTTGTTATGTCAAGAGTACAATACGGATTTGGCTTAAATTTTGGTAAGTTCTAAAATATTTATTAGCCTATTTAATTTTGATGCCTATTTAACTTAATGAGAGACATAAAGATAGAAGGTTGTGTAAAATGGTTGTGTAAAATTGTTTTATTAGCATTTGGACATTTATATATTGTTTTTTTTATCATCATCTAGAAAACTGTGGTAAGACATTGTTCTTTAATGGACAAGAAGACCATTTGGTGCCTTCCACTTCTCGGCTCTTACTGGATAGTGACCTTTTCCGTGTCATTGGGCGCATGATAGGACATTCTTTCCTACATGGTGGACCCTTACTCACTGGTTTGAGCCGCTCATTATTCAATCTGTTGATTGGACAAAAGGATGAGATAGCTGTTGTAGAACTAGAGGACTGCCCTGACACCGATGTGACTGACATTGTTTTACTTGTGAGTTTAAATTCAGCATCATCTATAATCTCATGGTCATGTAAAGGATAATCCACGACTAGATAGTATTGCACACCTTCCAAACCCAGAATCAAATATTTAGGCAGACCATGGTAAAATGACAAAATTTGTTATTGCATGCTTTAAGTGTGTCTTGAAGAACATTCTACAAATATTTCTGATACATATCTGCTGTCATAGCTTCAAGGGTCTGGAAATTTGACAGAAGATGAACTTGACCAAGTAAATAACTTGGCAATCAACTGGGATCTCCCACCAGTAAATGAGAACAACAGAAAATGGTTGGCACAAAGCATCCTTTTCCATGCAGTAAGTGCCATTGATGATATTTTGCATGGTTTACTCTTGACATACTAAAATACTTCAAATAACTAAAAACATTATTTATATATTTGGAGTGGTGATATTTAGAATAACAGCACTGTGATGCTTTACTTTCTGTATCACCTTGCTTGTCTGTGTTCCTGACTTCCCAAAATAGTTGGGGATTCATTGTTTATTTATTTTGTTAAGTGACCATTTTTACAGATTTCATATTTTTCATATTTTACATCATTAAATAATCTGAAATGAATTAATACAGGTCATTGGTCGGAGGGAAAAGCAAATTCGACAGATGAGACTGGGGTTAAAAGACACAGGAGTCTTGCACATGGTCAGAGAACGGCCTGCCCTGATTGATGTTCTTTTCCCAAGAGCGTCAGCTCAAATGATTGAGCCAGAGGTATTGTTGCATTTGTACCATATACTGTTTCATCCATGAATTGCATTGTGTGGTTAAAATAGAGAATTGATACAGTATATACTAAATACATCATGGCTTGGTAATCTAATTAATTTAATTTGTCAACATTAACCCTAATTCAGGTTTTTTGATCAGATGGAATGTGTAGTATTTTTCTGCTTTGTTTTTAGATGGTCCTTGACAGAATTATATGGCCAACAGTTGACAGTGATGATGAAGACTATGGTGGCTGTAGTCTGGAGGACACATTCAAGATAACTGGTTTCTTTCGTCAATACATTGAAAATGGTACGTAAAAAGAAACCACCTCTTAAAGGGATACTCCACCGTTTTTTCATATTAAACTATGTTATTCCCTTAACTAAGACGAGTTGATAAATACCTCTCTCGTCTCAGAGCGTGCACTCCATTGCTCTGGCGCGCGAGACACTTTAATTGCACTTCACTAGCCCAGTTCATTCAATATGGACCAAGCAGAGAAGCAACCAAACACCTCCATGGTCGCTTCTCTGCTTGGCCCATATTGAATGAACTTGGCTAGTTAAGTGCTATCAAAGTGTCTTGCGCGCCAGAACGATTGAGCGCACACACTGAGACGAGAGAGGTATGTATATGTATCAAATCGTCTTAGTTAAGGGAATAACATAGTTTAATATGGAAAAATGGTGGAGTATCCCTTTAATGCACAATTATGAAGTAGGTTTACCCTTAACTTGTTCTCATTTTCAGAGATGTACAGAGAACCTTAAAACCACATTTAAGTGCAAGTACAAAATACTTTAAAGAGAAAATCACTTCAATTCTAACATAACTTGAGTAAAAGTAAAAAAAAAAAAAAACTTAAATAGTTCACCCAATAAAATAAAATATAGTAAAAATTAAGTGGGCATGCTGATTTGGGCCTCATCTCTGGCTGCTGCAGCTATTGCTGCCTTTACACGTTATCGGAATTAACATAAATACTAGTTTCCTTGTTCAAAAAATTTGACATGAATACCCTCTCATATCAAAAATTTAATGTGATGAGCTCATAATGCTCAAAGTGGGAAGTAGAAAATTCCGATAGCATGTGAAGGCAGCATATAATCTCATCTCATATATGAAACATCTACGATTCAGACACCACCTGCAAATCCACTCACATTTGCATAAAGGTTTGGGTGATAATAAATACATTTACTCAAATACTTTACTCCACTGCCCATTTTTAAATGTGGTATTCAATCTATATGATCTTTTTTTTATTGCATTCACAATCAAATGATTATTTTGGCATAATATAGTGACTCCAAAAAGGATATGTACACCATGAAAGTTCTCCATGTGATTTGTACACTATATTTATAAGTCTTCTGAAACTATATAATGTATTATTGAACAGACAGTAATAATTGAACAGTATAGGTAATACAATTGATTGAACAGTATTAATTCACTCTCTGAAAATGAAATATAATTGAAGATTTCTGTTTTTACACAGGCACACCAGAAGAGCTAATGCAACTCATTCAATTCTGGGTGGGTTGGGGAATTCTTCCTCAGAATCTCTATGTAGAGGTGTCCTCTGATGTTGCAATGCCAACTGCATCCACTTGTAGAGAAACCATCAAACTCCCAGCAAAATATAGCACTTATGAGAGTTTCCGTAAGGACCTGAAAGCTGCTGTATCAACCATCGAGAGTGGGTTTGGTTTGGTGTAATTACTATTCTGTGTACTAACATGCAACTCTTCAGCAAAACAAAAAACAGAAATGTTAAAAGTTGCACTACCTAAAGGTCACAGTTGAAACTGCAGGTTTGCTTATTTTTGGCTGTCCCAATGTCGCAGTCACACTATTGGTGCATGTTTCCCCTGTTACAAAAAATACAGTTTTGCACCCTAGTTTGAGAAAGTAATTTATTTATTACATATAAATGATATTTTTTTCTGTCCTTTTACAATGGTAAATGAACTGTTTTGTTCAACAGTAGGACATGTCAGACAAATAAAAGTTTAAATTAAATAAAATCCAGTGTTTTGTCTTGATTCTTAAATTAACTTACAATAAACTGGCTGAAGACTTTATACCAACATATGAAATGCTGTAAAATACAGTACTGTTTACAAAATGTCCAGTAATTGGTGAATTTTAGTGACTGTGTTGTAGTATGTGTCGATGGCTTCTGAAAAGGGCACATTAGGATTTGGCAGACTATCCAATTCTTCTTCGGTCAGTTGTCGAGGTAGAGCCACTTCTGGAATTGGCACTCCATCATTATCGTGACTTGGGGGTCCATCCCAGTCGATCCCATAATTTTCATCCACCTGTGTTCATTAATGAAAATCCGTCATATTGTGGGTGGAAGGGGAAAAAAAAGTTATAATTGTCTAAAAGTACAGAAAACAGAAAAAGACGACACATTAACATTCCGTTGCTCCTGCGTCTCTGTGTCCTGATTTGTCTGATATTTGCTTCTAATGTTTTAATCCAGTCAATTTGTTGATGAAACATTTATTAAAATGAAGATACAATTTATATCAAACGAAATTTACAAGCTTTCTACAAAACAAAACCTAATAAGTAGTCAAAATTTTGTCTGACCCATGATTTTGGGCAGCTTTTGAATATTGATCCTATCTCACTCATCTCATGCGGTTCCCTTTTCATAGCCTACTCAACATTGATTAAATAATAAAAATAAGTAACGTAATATTATTAAACACAAATGTGAAACGTAGCCTATGTTTTGTTTTTGTGACTTATTAAGCGTCTCGCCGCTCTGCTTTGCTCACATGCTATGTAGCCTATACATGTGTGTGTGCATGTGCTGGAGGTGTGCCCATCCCTTTTTTGAATATCGTTATCATTATTGATCATTTTTAATAATTCGTTTTTTCATGCATGTTGAAATTGGTACTATTTGTTTGAGGTTTGACACTTTACTAAAAATGACTTTACTAAAAATGATACAAAAAAAAAATGGATGGATTTATAGCGTTTTGAAAAAAAATAAAATTAACTTTTCATTTATCATTAACAATATTGTTGTTTGATTCAATAATCATTGTTCAAAATCTTCAGACTGAACCAAAAAAAAAATTCAACAGGATAATTTGAATATTCACAAAATGTGTGGGTCTAGGTAAAAAATGTAGTTTTCCCGAAAACTATTGAAATGGATTTATAGCGTTTTGGAAAAGAACTCCTCATATATATATATATCCTGATGTAAAAAATAATTATATATAAATACATACATAATCTGACATCTTACTTGAATGGTGTCATCAGTATTGTTGGCACTGTGTCTTAACCAAAGCTGGACAGGTGACTGGCTCCCAGCAGTTCTGATGCGGTGGTTGTTCCATGCATCTTTAAAGAAGGCAAGATGCCTCTGCAGTTGACACAAAAAACTCCAGTGAAGGGCAAAAATGTCAATCTCAGAATCTGGATTGAGTATTCCCTCTGTCTCCATGTTGTAGAAGATGTGATAAGAACATGCTTAAAACATGTTTCGTACACATCTCTCCAAGCCTCTCAATTCTGTGGGGGAGAGAAGTTTAGATTTGAAACAAAACAAATAATGGGATATCAGGCTTAGTCTGGTCTATTATACCATTGAACCTATTCAATATAGCCAGGGCTTGAGATTAACTTCTTTTGCTCACCAAGCCACTGTGGCTGGTGGTTTTTTAAAGTTACTAGCCACGCATTTTCATTTGCCACAATTTTGACATCGATACCATAGGGTATCGATGTCTTAAAAACATCTAACTACCATATAGATATTTTTTATATTATCTCATTATTTGGCACCACGTAAATTAAGCTGCTGTTGCTTTAAGACATGACGTACGGACACATTATACTGTTTTAAATAGCCAATATACTGTACTTGTCCTATGTGCAAGCACTTCTGGTGTGAGTCCAAAATCTGCGGGAATGAGTACAATTATGCTCAATATGCACAATCCCTCACCCTGTAACCAACAATATTCATCCGGA